GATAAAACCTGCCGGAATTAATCACCCATGGGTGGTTTGGGCGGAACTGGGTGCTTTATTCAACTAGATCTTCATACCACCCTACTTATCAACATGAAACCAATACACCACCTTTGCCCTTTGCCCGGCTCCTTTGCCCTGGATTTCTACAGGATGGGACTACGAACAATACAGTTTTAGCAGTCAACATTGCTGAGATTGCGCTACAGCCAAAAATATCAAGTGTTAGCACTAAACAGCATGGTCTAGTACCTACCTCTAAACTATGATCACTACCATGGTTGTTGGGATCTTCCAGGCCCCATGATCTGGGCGGCCTCACCATATTGCTCTACTCGTCTGCACCATCTTCGGCTTCATCTTCGTCGTCACCTGCAATCCACATCGCTTCCCTCTGCAAACTCCTCCCACCAGCCATCGTCCTCGTCATCCGCAATGCCCTCTGCCAGCCATTCCCTTGCCTCCTCTGCTGCAGCCTCCTCAGAGGCCTCTTCTTTGTACTCCGCCGAGCCAGCACTTGCCCCTACCACATTTTTCTTCATCGTCGTCTGCATCTCCATCGAAGGGAGGCTCGAGGCTGATGTCGAAAAGGGGGTTGACATACTCTGCTTCTTCCTCTTCAACATGCACGTCGTCAAAGACTTCCGCTTCCGGCTTGCCATGGAGATGGCTTAGGATCAGGTTGTCCTCCGAGCCATCCAGGTCGTTGGAGATGCCGCAAGTCTTGAACGACTTGTGCACCAGCTCCTCTGGCACGACGGCCCAGCTGCGAGCTATCCACTTGAGGATTAGCTCAGCTAGGGGCTTCTTCAGATTGCCTGCGGGGATTGTACGCCCTCGGCAGTGACGTCCTTGAGGACCGCCAGTACGAGCTTGCTATCCTGTCCGAGGCTGCTCCCCATTTCTGCTCTATGCTTCTAGTCCCTGAGGGTGACCCCGACGCCTTCGACATCCCGACCCCTCGCACTTACGCTGAGGCGGTCTCGGGACCCTGGGCCTCTCAGGGGATAGCTGCCATGGAGCAGGAGATGGCATCTTGGAGATCCACCGGCACCTACGTCGACGCAGTTCCCCCACCTGGGGTGAACGTAGTCGATGGCCGCTGGCTCTTCAAGGTGAAGCGCCCTCCTGGAAAGCCGCCTGTGTTCAAGGCGCGCCACGTGGCTAGAGGTTTCAGTCAGCGTGAGGGGGTGGACTTTTTCCAGGCCTTCGCTCCGACCCCGAAGATGACTACTCTTCGGGTGCTGCTATACGTAGCAGCTCAGCATGACTACGAGCTTCACTCCCTCGACTTCTCCACTGCGTTTCTTCAGGGCAGTCTACACGAGCAGGTCTACCTGCGCCGCCCTCAGGGCTTCACTGGTACCTTCTTTCCTGGAACCCAGTGGCTCTTGCGGCGCCCCGTCTATGGCCTGCGGCAGGCTCCCCGTGAGTGGCACGACACGCTGCGTACTACGCTTGCAGACCTGCAGTTCTTTCCATCTTCTGCAGACCCCTCGCTCTTTGTTCGTGCTGGCCAGACCCCGTTCTACATCCTTGTTTATGTAGACGACCTGGTCTTCGCCACGGCAGACAGGGACGCACTGGCCTCCATGAAGGCAGAGCTGCTGAAGAGACACACCTGCACTGACCTTGGAGAACTACGTCACTACCTTGGCTTGCAGATCTCCAGAGACAGAGTAGCGCGCACCATCACTTTGACTCAGTCACACTTGGTGCGCCAGGTCCTTTAGAGGTTCGGCCTTCAATTCTCCTCCGCACAGCCCACTCCTCTACCTCTAGACCACAGGCTCTCCACTCCAGTTCCTGAGGAGTCGGCAGAGCCCAATGGTCCTTACGCACTGATGACTTGCACTCGCCCAGATCTCACATACCCTCTCAGCATCCTTGCTCACTTTGTGGATATACAGGCAGACACCAACCACAACACTGGTCTGCCGCTAAGTGGGTTTTGCGTTATCTTGCAAGTACATCGGACATGGGGTTAGTGCTAGCAGGACGCAGGCCAGTGGTCCTTACTGGACACACTGATGCTTCTTGGGCAGACGACGCCGAGACCCTCAGGTCTTCGCAGGGCTACTGCTTCAGCCTTGGTTCAGGTGCTGTCTCGTGGAGAGCTACCCGCTCCTCGTCTGTTGCCCAGTCCAGCTGTGAGGCCGAGATCTATGCCGGTGCCATGGCAGCACAGGAGCTCCGCTGGCTGATCTTCTTGCTTGCTGACTTAGGTGAGCGGCCTAGCTCTGCCCTGGTTCTGTACGCTGACAACAGGGCCATGATCCTCCTGTGTCAGGAGCCTCGACTTGAGGGCAGAGCGAAGCACATCCAGCTGCGGTACTTCCTCCTGCGTGAGCTCCAGCAGCACCGCCAGGCGCGCGTAGTACACTTGGCCTCCGGTGCCAACACAGCTGATATCTTTACGAAGGCGCTTGCGCCTAAAGATCATCAACGGCACTGTGTACAGCTAGGTCTCGTTCCTGTAGCCTCTCACTTGCTAGGGCCTTGACTTTGTACTGTCCTTTATATATATATTTTACCCTGACTAGCCTTGTGGCCTCTCCCAGTGGCTGGACTAGTAGTGCCGCCCTTGCCTTGGTCTTGCCTTGTCCGTACTCCTTTTGACTGGTCTTTAGGCCCTTGTCTCAGAGGCTGGACTAGTAGTGCCGCCCTGAGCTGCTTCTTCCCTTGTTAGGCACTGCCCCTATATAGTCTAGGGGGTATGTCAAACATAATTTATGCAGTTACTGTAGACTATATGTGTTTGTGCCTTAGTGGGTACAGCTCACCAATCTATATTGCTTGTATCTCCCCATTCTAGTCATTCTTCATTCTGATATTGTAAACACGAGGCAAATTCAGGATCAATGATTGGAGCCACTGGCAGAGGCAAATTCAGGATCAATTGATTAATTAACAAAATGAGAAACAGCGGTACTTGAACGGAGACACAAGACTCACCCTGCTCCGTCTTCTGCTCGATGCCGGTGGTCTCGAACCAGCCGCCATAGTCACTCCTGACACCGGCCTTGAAGGACTTGTTCACGGCAACGTCTAACGGCTGCACCAGTGGAGTGCAGCCACCGGGTATCACCACGCGCATCAGCTTGCACAACTTCATAGTCTGTCCGACGGCTTGCACAAATTCGCCATCCAAGACGGGCAATAACGTTAGAAATCGTAGACTTACCAGGGGGGACTTGAATCTTCGGGAGGGTTTTCCTCTTGAAGATGACGTAGGCCGGTAGCTTCAGACCATATGGGGTCACCGCCAGCATGACGGTGACCCTCTCTTTCTCATAGTTCGCGGTCCTCACATGGACCTTGCGCGACCCCTTATGCTCCAGCATCCTCTCCTGGGGCATTTCGATGAAGAGCAGAGTCTGGTCCGCGTTCACAATGAGGTCGAGACTGTACTTGTTGAGCAGACGCATTCGAGGGGCAAATTCCCAATTTTTTTTCGCATTTCTCGCGCATATCTGCAAGGCAAAATCAAGGAACCGGATAAGTTTGCACTCTGAAGGAATTCAGTAGCGTAAATCGAGGACAACCCTTGACAGTAGAGTGACTTACCGTTGGCCAGCTTCTGGCCCATCTTCGTCTTGACACGACGAGTCAGGCCCCATCGGGCCCGAAAGCGAAACGTCCACCTGCTGGAGGCACGCCAGTCGATGTTGGGGTGGTGGTGTCGCATGTAGGCACGACTCCACTTCTGCAGCTGCTTGACGGAGACGAGAGTCCTTTGCCGCGGTGCTTCAAGAACTGGCGGTAGAGGGCACGCTCCATTGCAGGGAATTTCGCCGGTCGTCCGGCTCCGACAAGACGCCTACGACAGCCGGCCGCGACGCGAAGCCGCTCGCATGCCCTCTTCCATTCCCTGATGGACACAGGTTGCACTCCTGCAAGCCTCTCCAACGCATGAACAGAGAGGTCAGGTTGTGAGTCGGACATCTGAAGCCAGTACAACTTTTCTTTCGCAGTGTACGACCATCGTTTTTTCTTCGTCACCCTGCTACGCGGCGACGACGGACTACTGTCGTGATTTACAGAGGGACCTCGTCGGCGCCGAATCGGCGACGGGAACCTCGGAACTTCGACGCAAGACAGAGGAGCACGACCTTCGGTCGCGCCACTTGACTCGTCTGCCGCAGGAGTGCTGGCATCGCTGGGGGAACGGATAGGGCTGCTAGGTGGCGATGAAACAATAGGGCTAGCAGGACGACGGAACAAGCTTTGCTGGCCATAAGGGCCACGCTGAGTGAGGAGACGGCTAAGGTCCGAGCCATTTGCCATAGCGACTTGGAGCTATCCTAGCTGAGGGGAAGGATGCCCTCGACAGCCCTTTCAGAGGCTGTTTTGAAGGCATCCTGACTTCAAAACGCCAAATGAGTTGGGAGAGCTGCCTATACCCTCAGCATGAGCGGCTTGGAGGGGACGGAGGGGACGTGGGCGACGCCCTCACTCGGGCCGCCCACGACAGAGCCTTCACAACCATGCAGCATGGGAGAATCCGTGCGCTGGTCGGCCCTGCTTGGGTCATGAAGGAATCTGCAGCAGATTCCTTCCTGCAGAGGTGTGCTGGCATATCGTGGCGTAGAGGTTGCCACCACGAGGTCACAGCATGCCCCTATTGGCTGCCAAATGCAGGAAAACTGTGGCCTAGCACAGTTTCAGTTCCAGCGTGGCAGAAGGATAGTCATCGTCGGCGTATACGCGATCATGCGCTAGAATCATCCAAAATTGGCGCAGCACAAGTCTGTGAACTACACAGCTCAATCCTGGTTTCTAAACATAACAATGCCATTCCATAACTCCTGGGCGTTATACAAAAAGTGCCACTAATTACACCCCCATTAAAATTTCCATCAAAATTTAGTACCACTTTAGGGTGTTTTATCCGGGGGAATACGGTAAGACAGCTGAAGTCTTGTGATTTTGAGATGGTTTTCAGAATATTTACTAGAGATCAAGTTAATCATAAAAGGAATACAATCTACTTTTATATCTGCGAAAAGAACCCTCGCGCGCGACTGTCTACGTGACTGAAACGGCTTTGCTGACATCATCGTCCAGACGAGCACTATAGCTGAAACCGTGACTCCATGTTTCACAGCTTGTTTCACAAGGAATACAGGGTAATATCTTGGGTATTTATAGCATGTACATACAGAACTCAAGCACCAGCTCTCATTTCCCACAGCCACTCCTTATCAACGTGCAGGTCAGAGCTTGGGCATGAAGGCAATGGGAGAAACGGAGAATTTTCCGAGGGGGCTAAAGCTCTATTCCTGAAGCCCTAGTCCAAGAAGCTGTAGCCTCATGCCTCATGAGTGTGTGGGCCTGAGCTTGGGTCTGAAGGTGATGGGCAAAAAAGAAAAGGTTCTTGAGCAAATAAAAACACGTCTCATGCGTCATGATCGAGCAGGTCGTAGCTTGGGTGTGGTGTGGAGGTAATGGGTAAAACGAAGGAGGTCCTCGAGGGCCCTCTAGTAACCCGTGAAGCCAGGTACCTGGAAGCTGTATGCCTCATGCCTCATGCCTCATGAGCGAGCGGGTCTCAGCTTAGGCGTAAAGGTGATGGGTGAAACGGAGAATGCAACTCGCTGCGAGGCAAAGGTGAGCATGCGCCTCTCGAGGTCGGTCAGTGGGCGCTCGATGACCCTCTCCCGCACCGCCTCCTGCTCATGCCCATGCACATATACACATGGGGCGCGGACTTTAGTATGCCTTTACATAGAACGTATAGTAGGATGAGTGACCGATCGCCCTTTCCCCCACTGCCTCCTGCTCATGCTCATGCACATTCACACGCCCATGCACATGCACATGCACATGCACATGCACGTGCACATGCACGTGCCCATGCACATCCCCATGCACATGCCCATGCACATGCACACACAAGGGGCGGGGATTTCAGTATGCTGGAACGTGAATGCGGTAGACTCACGTGGTTGCGCAATGGGAGGAATGCTGCAGACTCACATGGTTGCGGAATTGGAGGAATGCCGCAGACTCACATGGTTGTGCCTTGCCAAACCCCCCACATGGAGCACGTTGTTGATGTCGCCCACTCGTCCACCTCAGTGGGTAGATCCATAGCACCGACTACATTGTTGTGCTATGGGGCACAACAAGGAGCCATGGACGCACATGGTTGCCACATGGAGCCATGCCATGGACTCACATGGTTGTGCCTTGCCATGGCATGGACTCACATGGTTGTGCCGTGCCATGGACCCCACGTGCAGCACGTTATTGGTGTTGCCCCACTCGTCCACCTCAGTGGGCAGATCCGCTGCATGCCGCCAGTTGCCGTCCACTATGAACTTGTAGCGGTACCTGGGAGGGTGGGAGGGTGGGAGAGCTTTTGATTCGACTCAAGAGCGTCCACTACAAACTTAAAGCGGTAACCGCACAGCAGATCAAGTGTGTGGGTGGTAGTTAGGGAATCCCCGAGCATGTAAGTGGCGAAGCGCATGGCAAATCAAAACACCAGCGCCCGACCCACTGCTGTGCCTGCCATAAGATCTAGGACAAAATTGGAGCTTCCCACTGCTGTGCCTGCCATAAGATCTAGGACAAACTTGGAGCTTCCCACTGCTGTTGTTGCAATGGCTACAAGCACATCTGGTCATTCAGTTGAGGCGGGTGTGCGGTGCCAAGAGACACTCACGATCCGAGCGGCAGCCTGAGGTCGAGGACGAACTTGGAGCCCCCCACTGCTGTGGCTGCCACTGGGTTCTTCCACCCGCCAGATAGCTCCCCCACCAGCAGCACCTGGATGGGGGGAGGGAAAGAGTGCAAGGTAGAGAGCTTCTCGGATAGCTTCCCCCTACAAGCTGAAGTACTACCTTCACCTCCCAGATAGCTTCTCCACCAGTCGTACCTGATTGATCGTGCCAGAAGGGCAGGAAACGTAGACGCAGTTGGAAGGGATAGAACAGAAGGAAGCGAGAGGGAGTAGAAGAGAGGGGTCTATTTTTGAGGCGCCTCAAAAAAGCGAGAGGGAGAAGAAGAGAGGGACTAGAAGGAAAGCCGTTAGTGTTTCCTTCTAGTAACTGGTACAACGACTATGAAGTCACCTGAAGGAAACAGTAACTGTTTCCCCACCTCTCTGCCTTCTAATGGACGTGGACACACCTTGAGGAAGCCATATTTCCTCGTAGTCACATGCTACTGAAAGAACATTTCTAAATCCCCCTTTCCCTCCATGGTAGGAGGCATTTTGCACGGAGTGTGGGGCAGGACCAGTGTGGTAACCGCATTTCTGGTAACCACATTTTTGGTAACCACATCCTCAAGTAGAGTAACTCACGTCTCTCCCTCCATGGTTCCATGCGCACTCCTCACCGTTCTCCCTCAATTCCTCACCTCCCCCTCTCCCTTCCTCCTCACCTCTCGCTCGCCCCCCATGGTTCCATGAGATCTGTACAGTGTGCGTAAAAGAACTGTACGGCAATCACACATCGTGGTAACCACGTTCAATTGTAACCTCACCTCTCGCCCCCCATGGTTCCATGCGATCTGCACGAAGTGCGTGGCAGGTCCCGTGTGCCGCACCCCATGCCGCAGCATGGCCACCAGATCCCATGTTGCTGCCGCCAGTGCCGCCCTGAGACAAGGGGAAGAGGGGGGAGAGGGCAGTGGGTGGCTTAAGAAGAGCATTTTAGCCAAGAATCATGCCGCAGCATGGGCACCAGACCCCAGGTGGCAGTCGCCAGGGCAGCCCTGCAAGGGGACTTCGGAGGTTGTGTGGGGAAGAGGGGAGAAGGGAGAGGGGGGGTAAGAGGGTGGGTGGCGCAGGGGTATCCGATCGTAGTCAGACCAGTCAAGAGGCATGCCGCAGCGTGGCTGCCAGACTACATGTGGAGGCCGCCAGGGCAGCCCTGAAAGAGGGGAAGGGGGTGGGGGAGAGGTGGGGGAGAGGTGGGGGAGAGGTGGGGGAGAGATGGGGGAGAGGTGGGGGAGAGGTGGGGGAGAGGTGGGGGAGAGGTGGGGGAGAGGTGGGGGAGAGGTGGGGGAGAGGTGGGGGAGAGGTGGGGGAGAGGTGGGGGAGAGGTGGGGGAGAGGTGGGGGAGAGGTGGGGGAGAGGTGGGGGACAGGTGGGGGACAGGTGGGGGACAGGTGGGGGACAGGTGGGGGACAGGTGGGGGACAGGTGGGGGAGATGCTGCGGTTTTTCTGCGGATTTTGGAGTCCCTGGTCCAAGCAATGAGGACAGAGCCAGGAGTCACACGTGGCAGCCGGGAGAGCAACCCACACTGAACCTCACTGAACAACGACCCGCCTGTTTGGCTGGCAGGGGCGCACGCCACAGAGGAATTTAACAGCCTGTGTTAGGGTTATTGCCAGCACCCAGCGGCCGAACGTCGCAGAGGAACTTGCCTGCTTGGGCCAAGGGAATGGCGAGCACCGGTGCATGCAGGTACGCGCACACACACCACTGCAGGCGCCCTGCCCACCCCATCTGTGTCTGTCACCGGCACATGCAGCCAGTGCTGCACAACTCGCTCTTAACCGCACTGAACCTCACTGAACACCAACCTACCTGTTTGGCTGGCAGGAGTGCTTGTCACAGACAAACTTGACAGCTTGGGCAAGGGGTATCGCTAGAACCCAGTGCAGGTGCCCGCACACCAAAGCAGGCGCCCTATCCACCGAGTCTGTGTACGTACTAGAACGAGCAGCCCGCGCTGCACAACTCACTGAACCGTACTGCACCGCATGGAACCACACCAAGGTGCACTGGAAGCACACAGTGACTGCATTTTACTCACCTATTGGGCTGGCAGGGGCGCACGTCGCAGACGAATTTCACAGACTGTGTCAGAGGGATAGCGAGCACCCAGTGCAGGTATGCGCACACCACAGCAGGCGCCCTGTCCACGCCGTCTGTGTCTGTCACTAGCACATGCAGCCCCCGCCGCAGCAGGCGGTGCAGAATGCCCACCGCCACTGGCAGCTTGCGCCGCAGATCATGGCCGTCGTGGTGCCTGGGGGTTGCAGTTGCAGGGTGAGAGACCAGGAGTGCGTGCAGACAAGAGAGAGGAGGGGGAGTGAGAAGGGAGGGCGCAGCACGCAGTGCAGAGTGCCCACCGCCACTGGCAGCTTGAGCCTCAGGTCAAGCCCTTCGTGGTGCCTGGGGTGGAGGTGGCTAAGGTAGGCTGGAGGGTGGGGTGGGTGGGAGATGGCGTGAGAGTCGCAGCAGGTGGTGGCAGCATGCGCACTGCCACTGGTAGCTTGCGGCGCAAGTCGTGGCCGTCGTGGTGCCTGGGGGTTGCAGGGTGCGGACAAGGAGAAGAATGGAGGGACGGGTGGGTATGGGGAGAGTGGGAAGCTGCTGCAGGCGGCGGCAGAATGCGCACTGCCACTGGGAGCTTGCGCCGCAAGTCGTGGCTGTCACGGTGGCTGGGTTGTTAGGAAAGGGAAGGGAGAAAGCTGGGTGTGGAGGGAGGAAGATAGGACACCACGGAAGGCGGGGGAAGGGGAGGTAGGAGGGTTGGGGAGGAGGGAATGGTTGCCAGGGGGAGGGGGAGGGGAGGGGGGAGGGGGGGGGGGGGGGGGGGGTTTCAAGTGGGAAAGCAGACCATGGAGCCTGCCTTGTTTCGAGGCGCCGAAAATTTGGTGCCTGGCCTGCAGACCTGGTTCAATGCTGCCCTGCAGACCTGGTTCAATGCTGCCCTGCACACCTGGTTCAATGCTGCCCTGCACACCTGGTTCAATGCTGCCCTGCACACCTGGTTCAATGCTGCCCTGCACACCTGGTTCGATGCTGCCCTGCACACCTGGTTCGATGCTGCCCTGCACACCTGGTTGGATGCTGCCCTGCACACCTGGTTCAATGCTGCCCTGCATACCTGGTTCGATGCTGCCCTGCACACCTGGTTCGATGCTGCCCTGCACACCTGGTTCAATGCTGCCCTGCACACCTGGTTCAATGCTGCCCTGCACACCTGGTTCGATGCTGCCCTGCACACCTGGTTCGATGCTGCCCTGCACACCTGGTTCGATGCTGCCCTGTACACCTGGTTCGATGCTGCCCTGCACACCTGGTTCGATGCTGCCCTGTACACCTGGTTCAATGCTGCCCTGCACACCTGGTTCAATGCTGCCCTGCACACCTGGTTCGATGCTGCCCTGCACACCTGGTTCAATGCTGCCCTGCACACCTGGTTTGATGCTGCCCTGCACACCTGGTTCGATGCTGCCCTGCACACCTGGTTCAATGCTGCCCTGCACACCTGGTTCAATGCTGCCCTGCACACCTGGTTCAATGCTGCCCTGCACACCTGGTTCAATGCTGCCCTGCACACCTGGTTCAATGCTGCCCTGCACACCTGGTTCGATGCTGCCCTGCACACCTGGTTCGATGCTGCCCTGCACACCTGGTTCGATGCTGCCCTGTACACCTGGTTCGATGCTGCTCTGCACACCTGGTTCAATGCTGCCCTGTACACCTGGTTTGATGCTGCCCTGCACACCTGCACACCTGCCCTGCACTGCACTACCACCAGGCCTCCCAGCATACTGTACTACCAACGGATCACTTGTGAAAGGCAAGGAGCTGCACCTGATGGGGTGGTGCACCACCATGACCCCTGCATCCCTTGCCGCCCGATTCATGCCATCCACGTCCACGGCCCAGTTGAGCTTCTCCGTGGCGCGCTGCAGGTCCAGCACTGCTGTGGTGCCCTGTTGTACGCACGGAGGAAAGGAATACGGAGTCCATATGGAGGAAAGGAATGAGACGAAGAAGGGAGAGGGGGGGTGGGGGGATGGTGAGAGGAACACCAGGTTTATGCCGTCCCCGTCCACGGCCCAGTTGAGCTTCTCCGTGGCGCGCTGCAGGTCAAGAACCGCTGAGGTGCCCTGGTGTGGGATGGGAATGCATGATGCGAAAACGCAGAGGTAGACAGCGAGATGGCAGTGAGAGGAGCGCTTTGCTCATGCCGCCCACGTCCACTGCCCAGTTGAGCTACTCCGTGGCACGCTGCAGGCCCAGGACCGCTGTGGTGCCCCTGTTGTGCGATGGGATTCAGGTCTCAGGCGGGGAAGGCGAAACAAGGCCAAGGCCCACATCATGCAGAGCAAACACGACTTAAAGTGGGGGAGAGCAGAGGCTATATCATGCAGAAAACGTAGCCTGTCGGGAGCACACAGGCCATATCATGCTGAAACGAAACAGCCTATATGGGAGAGAATACAGACCAGTCTCTGGTGAGCGGACGTGAGGTCTTCCGGGCAAAGGAGAGCCGCGCCAAACGCCAGATGCTCCGATACCTGGAGGGGGAGGAGAGAGATAGGATGGTGGAAGACACCGGGAGAACAAGAGAGCTTGTGGCATGAAGGCATGGCGTGCGCCAAGGGCGGTGGAGTCTTCTGGGCAAAGAAGAGCCGCGCCAAACGCCAGATGCTCCGACACCTGGGGGACCGAGAGAGAGGGGAGAGGGGGGGGAGAAGAGAGAGGAGGATAACGAGGCATGAAGCAGGAGGCCCAGCTCAACAACGAGCTGACTATTGAGTCGACTCAAAAGTCGGCATGAAGCAGGAGGCACAGCTCAACAACGGCTTCTGGGCACGGGAGAGATGACCCACTGGCCCTCACCTGTGTGCGTGTGGGTGAGTGCCAGGACTCGAACCTCCAGTCCCCCACTCCCCTGGTACGCCTCCACAGATTTGTTCACTCGCCTCACGTCAAAGCCCCACGTCACAGCCCCACCACCTGTCATTCCCCCAAGGCCCCACGTCACAGCCCCACCACCTGTCATCTCCCCAAGGCCCCACGTCACAGCCCCACCAACTGCTCCTGAGGTGCCTCAAACCTAGTTGGCCCTCACCTGTGTGTGGGTGGGTGAGTGCAGGGGCTCGAATCTCGAGTCCCCCACGCCCCTGGTATACGCCTGAACGAACTCGTCAACTCGCCCCACCCCAAGGCCCCACCACCTGCCGTCCCCCTCCCCCGCACCTCCCGAGGAAGCATCCCGGAAGCCACGCTCAGGCCAGCGCCACTCTGCCGCCTCCTCCCCACTCTGTTGCGCCCCCTCCCCCGGCTTGCCTTCTTTCTGCTTCTCTGCCTCACCCTTTCCCCTTTCATCCCCCTCTCCCTCACTTGCCCTTCCCTCGTCCTCCCACCCGCCTCCCATGGCAGCCGCAAAGGCCGCTGCTGCCTCTGCTGCCTGCTCCCACTCCGCCCCATCCTCCCCCTCTCCCCTCCTCTCTTCCTCCTCTTCTCCCCTCCTCCCATCCTCCTCTTCTCCCTTCCTCTCCTCATCCTCCCCCCCCTTCCTCTCTAGGCCCTTGTCTTCCACCCCAATCCTCTCTGGACGAGCTTCTTGTGGCTCATCCTCCTCGGTTAAAACCACACCACTGGCCGCAGCCCCATCCTTCAAGCTTGCTTCCCTACCAACCACATTTCCAGCTTGAGCCGAGCCTCCAGTTTCAGAGGCTTGGGAATCAGAAGCCACATGGGTTTCCAAGCCTTGAGGTGGCCCAGTAGCGTCCTGGTCATCAGACCTCCCCTCTGCTTCGGAATCCGGGCCTGACTCCGAGCCAGATGCGGCTTTCGTCTCAAAGAACGGAAAGATCACCCACTCTCCTTCCCTCCGCGCCCGCTCCATTCCCACCCCTTCCCCTCGCTCGTCTTGCCTCCTCCCTGCCTTCTTCTTTCCCCACAACGTGCCCCCTATCGCCCGCACGCCCCTTCCTCCCTGCTTCTGTGTCCCTCCTCCCTTCACCTCATCTTCTCCTCCAGTCCCCCCATCCAGCTTCTTCTTCTTCTTCGTCTCGTCCTTCTCATGACCCACCCCTTCCTCCACCTTCCTCTCCTCCCCACCACAGCCCTCCCTTTCTCCCCCTGCATCCACCTCTCCTGCTTCTCCCACTCCCCCCACTCCTTCCTGTCTGTCATCCCCTTTATTATCAACGGACTCGTTATCAGACCCATCTGCTCCTCTTGGCTGCTCAATCACGATAGACTCGTTCACATCTGTTCTATCCCCCTGCTCCTCGTCTTCCCCTTGTGACTCTCCTTTTGCTTCCAACGCCTCTCCCATCTCACCACTCCCCTTGCTTTCGCCACTACCGCCACTGCCACTGCTGCCACCGTAAATATCGCTCCCTTGCTCCTGACTTGCCCCCAACCCACCTTCTCCCCCTTTCCCCTCACTCCCCTCCCCCAACCCCTCCTCCGCCCTCCCCTCGTCTTCCTTCTCCACCCGCCCCTCTCCCCCTTCCTCCGCCCTCCCCTCCCCCCCTCCCTTCCCCGCACCCCACTCTCTCCTCTCTTTCCTCCTCTCCCCATGTGGTCTAAGCTCAGAAAACGACACGAGCCCCACCCGCCCCGCTCCCCCCCTCATGAACAGTGTCCGTGCTGACATGGCGCTGCTGGCGCTGTACCGCGGCCAGCTGGATGGGTGGTGCCACGTGGCGGCTGCTGAGCGGCCGGGGTTGTCGGAGCGGAGGGGGTGGGACAGGATGATGCGCTGGGTGGTGGGGGCGTGCAGGGCTCGCTCGAAGACGAACGTGCAGGGGCCCTTTCCGTCTTCTATTGCACTTCTGCAAGGAAAAAAGGATTAGAAGGAAGGGGGGAAAGAAGGGGGGGGAAGGGAGGGGGAGAGGGGGAGGGAACAAGTGCGGGAGGATGATGCGCTGGGTGGTGGGGGGGGCGTGTAAGGTTCGCTCGAAGACGAACCCGCAGGGGCTCTTGCCCTCCTCTATTGCGCTTCTGCAGGGAATGGGTTTGGGAGGCGGCAGAGGAGGAACGCTTTGAGCAATTGAGAGAGGAGGATGCGGTGGGCGAAGGGGCGTGTAGAGCTCCCCCTATTAGGTGAACGTGCAGGGGCCCTTGCCCTCCTCAGAAGCGTTACTCGTAGGGATGGGTTGGGGTGGGGCAGAGGAGGGAAGCGTTGGACCAAGCGGGAGAGGAGAGGATGATGCAGTGGGTGATGGGGGCGCGTAGGGCTCTCACTGGCACAAACGTGCAGGGGCGGGCCTTTGCCCTGCCCTTCTCTATTGCGCTTGTGCAGAGAAAAAGGGGGGAGAGAAAGGAGAAGGCCACACGGGGGGGTGAGGTAATGGATGGAACACAATGGAGGGAAGGGCATGGGGGAAAGCAACCACATGTGGGAAGACGTACACCTTCATAAAGGCAAGTGATCGCGCACGTACATTAAGGATTGCTTTTGGGTCGACTCGAAAGCGTGTGACGCGTACATGAGGGATTGGAGGCCGTTGACTTCGCGTGGGGCGTGCCCCTTAAGCTCTTGACACGTGACGCGCACTTATAAGTGGTGAATAACATACATTAAGGATTGCTATTGAGTGGGCTCAAAGAGTGGCACGCATACATGAGGGATTGGAGGTCGATGACTCGTGACAGCGGCGTGCCTTTATCCGCCGACACCTGCCGCACCACGTCCCCCACCATCACCATCTGCCCGCGCTCCGCATTCCCCTGATACAATCACATCCAATCCAATCCACCAGTCACAATTACCAGTCAAATTCACCAGTCGCATTCACCAGTCGCATTCACCAGTCGCATTCACCAGTCGCATTCACCAGTCACAATCACCATGCAAGAGAGGTCAGTTCTGTTGCCACTTACAATATCAGCCCCCACACTGAATCGAGCACATGCCATTTACCCGTATCCACATCCCTCCTAGTAGCGCCCCCCTACCTTTTCCTGCAGTGCTTCGACATAGACTGCTCCGCTATCCGTCATGGCGAACCACATCCCAAGCGGCTTCTCTATTGTCACCATGTACTCGTCCAGGTTGAACTTGTACCGGCCGTCCCTCGCTGCAGTCACACCCCCGCCCTCGCTTTCCCCCTCGCGCGCCCACCCGCGCCGCCGCGTCTCCAGCTGCCGCCGCGTGTCCCTTCGCCGCGTCGGATTCCCGCCAATAAGCGTCCATCGCGATCCGATTCCCTCGAAAACCCCGGTTCGAGCAGACACTGTTCGTCGTACCACACGATGTGGAGGTAACGACACGAAGAACGGCGAGGCGTTACACGTTACCCGATCTGGCGATATTACCAAAATTCTTGATCCCCGTCCCGATTCGGATTTTCGAGATTTTCTTGTGAGTCGTATTCCACCTGAACTGTATCGTATATCGGTTTCCGTTCCCGCGAATATTATAGCACGACTTGATGCTAACGAGAAACTGGATGACGGGATCGAAAACGGGTTTGCTTTAATCGGACGTGCTTTTAGCGAACCACTGAGCGGCCGCCTACTGACGGTTGACCCACTGCTAGTGGCACACGAAGAAGTCACGGAAACGGCTGCCATTCAATTCAGTGAGATCGACCCTAATCCATAACCTTGTCAGTTGGTTTCCGAGAATTAAAAAAAAACTGCAAGCACCGAAGTCAATGAAACGGAAAACCTGAAGACCGAACTCAATCCTTTTCCTTGTAGATCGCAATCAATTATGAGTGTGCGTCGCCGGGTCGAAGGATGTGCAAGCGACTTGCAGATGAAGAGATTGACGGTCGCATGCCTTTACCACGATGGCATTAGGCCGTTCGTCTAGCTGCAAGCCGTCAGTATAGCCGGCCAAATGTTCCCCAGACTAGCACGGCTTCTTTTCGACTTGTAACAACTAGCTAACGCGCGATCAGGTAAGCAGCAACTTCAGCGTCGTAAATGAACGTGAGAAGTACCACGCGCTGCTGGTAATGGCTTCCTCAACTCTCCGTAAGACTAAGTAGAGGCACAAACAGCGCTAGTAACTACTGTCGGCAATCCCGGGGAAATGTTCTTTCAGTCAGCCCGCCTCCCTTTGGCAGGCATTTGGCAGCGGCAACGGGACGAATTTCCTACCCCACCGGGGGGAGAACTCATTGCTTGTGCCACCTCTGGTTGTCCTCGCTTGTATCACTCTCGACAGGCGGGACAGCGGATGGTATTTATCGTTTCAAGGTCTCATATCCCGCATCATGTTCGCGATGATCCATAGTATATACCAAACACGCCGAGCCGAGAGCCCCTTTCATTATAAGAACACTCTACATCAAACGTTTTACTGCTCTATAGAGACGTCGCTTATGAGTTGCACACGCGGTGCTAAAAAAAAAAATCCTAGTTATTACCATGTAGCCCGCCAAAGAGTTGGGTCAGTCAGTTAGTGGGGGTTAGCAAGGCGGGAAAACCAAGTATATTTACTGCGATCTGGATGATTTCCAGATCAAGAGGCGCGAAAGAGCGCCTCCCAGGCACAAAGTTATACGCAAGCTGGGAGGGCTTAGTTAGACGGGTGCATTTATTGCCCCAGAGTTGGAGAAAGAGAAGGATGGTACCTAATAAGACTCTGCGGTGAGGACCTGTACGGCAGGTCCCTAGGCTCGAGACGTGAGGAAGTGGAAGGCGGGGTTATCTCTGAGAGGCGGAGGCAGCGGGAGGGCCACAATGTCAATGTCATCCATGCTGCGAGCAAAATCGTCCGGGCCGAAAGGAATACTGCATGGTGACACAGGGGGAGAGAGGGGGGGGGGGGTTGTTGGGTCACAAGAGGTTTGTAAGAGAGAGATTGTGAAAGAGGGAGTGAGAAAAAAGGTATGTGTGGCGAGAGTCATCCTCCCTGCTTACCTCGAGTCATCATCCAATAGGAACAAGCCGCTGGCAGCAGGCGACCTTGCCTCCTCGCTCATCCTCATCCTCATCATCTGAATGACCTGTGTACTCACAGTGTGCGTGCCATACTTGTCATCCTCTCTCCTCAGATCACCGACCAATCCTCACCTCAAGCATCACCAGTTTCCCTCACCTCGAGTCATCATCCAGCAGGAAAGAACCACTGGCAGCGGGCGACCGCGCCTCCTCGCTCATCCTCATCCTCATCATCTGAATGACCTGCGTGCTGACGGTGTGCGTGCCGTACTTGTCGTCCCAGTACATGGTGGCAATGCGGTACAGCTGCTGCGTTGATAGAGATGGGCAGAGCGTGGTGACGATCTCCTCTAAGCTCTTCTTAGGCTTCTGGTGCAGCACCTGCGGGGGGGGGGGAGGGAGAGGAGATACATGGATGCGTAATGGAATGTCGAAGCATGGTGTTGAATGCAAAACTACATTCCTTATAGACTCTGCACAAGATAGCAGGCTCACTCACTCCTTCACTCATGTACTCTCTCTCCCTCACTCACTCCCTCACTCACCAAGAACCCCACTGCCTGTGTAATGCTTCTCAGCTCCTCCCACGCATGCCCAGTGTTCTCCTCACTCGACTCCTGCATCCACTGCTGCACCTCCAGCAGCCTTCCTCACCCACTCTTGCTCACTCACCCCCTCCCTCACTCCAGAACTCACTCTCTCACTCTCCATCAATCTTTCTCACTCACCAGAAAGCCAACCGCCTCTCTCGCTCCCTCCCTCAGTATATATCTCACTCACCAGAAAGCCAACCGCTTGAGTGATGCTTCTCAGCTCCTCCCACGCGCGCCCAGTGTTCTCCTCACTCGCCTCCCGCATCCACTGCTGCACCTCCAGCAGCCCCGCCTTCACGTACTCGCCGTTGCTTAGCGAACAGCACTCGCGGCGTAATAGGAGGCTGAGAGGAGGGAGGGACATGAAAGCGGGAAATACATGGGGGTGGGTGAGGAGGCCCGCCTTCACGTACTTCCCATTGCCCAGAGAACAGCACTTGCGACGGAGTAGCAAGCTGGGAGGTGGAAGGATGGGAGGGAAAGGGGGAGAAGAGACATCGGGGTGGGTGGGAAGCAGAGCCTCTCGCATCCACTGCTGCTCTTCCAGCAGCCCCACCTTCATGTTCTCGCCATGGTTTAATGAACATTCGCGACGTAAAAGATCTCTGGCATATGAGGGGGATAGATAGAGTGGTGAGCACAGCAAAAAAGGCATGCCACGTGGAGGGGCTCCTCCCTGCTGGGGACAGACTGCACTAGAAGCATGCAGCACCCCCTCATCTTTAATTATGCTGCACGTTGATGAAGGAGAGCACATGCGCAAACGGAGCCACGTGGTTGCCCTTGAGCGTGTTGAGCAGAGTGGTCAGCGCAGCCGCAATAATGGCGTGTCCTGGGCTGGACTGCTTTCTGCCAGGAACGCACTGACTCGTATCACCCACCAAACCCATCACCCCCCTCACCTGTTGAAGAGCTGCACATTGATGAAGGAGAAGACTTGGGCAAACATCTTTCTGATCAAGAAGGGAGCCACGTGGTTGCCCTTGAGCGTGTTGAGCAGAGTGGTCAGCGCCGCAATTATGGCATGCCACGGGCTCGACTGCTGCAGTCCGCCGCCCGCCGCGCTGCCAGGAGACGTAGTTTGCCGGCCGTACGAGGAGCGGGAGACACGCGGAGCCTGGTTGGGGGAGGAGGATGGGAAGACGAGAGTATGCTGTTGAGTATGCTGTTGATGCAACTTCTTTATCGACAATTTCCTTGGCTAGTATGTTTCTAGCATTCAAGTCCAATTGCCTCAAGTACAGATCACGTTTTGCTGCATGGGTGTAGTGCGAAGAGCGTGGCACTGTGCTGTTTCGAGTGGCTCTGAAACGAGTACAGTGTTCCGCAATGCTGCCTGCTGACTAGCTGGGGGATGAGATGACATAAGATGAGATGAGATGAGATGAGAGGCATCAACAGCATTGGAGGGAGCAATAAAGACACCATACCTGGACCTTCTGTTCGCCTGTCCTCAGAATGGGGGAGATGTCTCTCTTGAGGTTGTCCTGAATGAGCCCAAACACCTTCTCCACATACGCTGTCAGCTGCTGCTGAAGCAGCAGCATAACCCCTACCTAGTTGCCATTTAGTACCCTACCTGGATGCACTGCCCCAGGATCGGCGATATATCCCTCTTGAGGTTGTCCCGAATGAGCCTAAACACCTTCTCCACATGCGCTGTCAGCTGCTGCTGACTGCACAGCAGCCCTGTTCCTAAAATTCCGAGCCTCACTTTCGTACTCACCTGGATGCACTGCCCCAAGATTGGAGATATATCCCTCTTGAGGTTGTCCCGAATGAGTCCAAACACCTTCTCCACATATGCAGTCAGCTGCTGCCTGAACAGCAGCGCGGGGTACTTTGCCTCTACCAGTTTAAGCGAGCTCCCCTTGTCAGGTAGAGGGGGAGACGAGTGGGCCATCTGGGGGGAGATGGGGGAGTGGAAAGAGAGGAAAGAGTTGAAAGTGAGGGAAACGGCAAGGGAGCTAGTGTCAAAACGGGCTGCGGTTTGAACAGAAGCGTGGAGTACTTCGCTTCCACGAGCTTAAGCGAGCTCTTCTTGTCAGGTAGAGGGGGAGAAGAATGGGGCCCCCCTTGGTTCCCGATGGCCTTGAGCGTCCACTGCGGCAGCACCAGCAGGCACGGCGTGTGGGACAGCCAGAAGGCCAACACCCAATGCTCTGCCTGGTTCGCACTAGCCTTCCCATTCCACTTCCCATTCCACTTTCCAACCCCTTCCATCCCCTCCCAGCCCCTCCCATCCCCTCCCATCCCCTCCCCCCTTTTCTTCCCACACTTACCTGCAGCAATCTGCCACTAGTTCCCCCGGGTTGCCCAGCTCTCCGCCTCCCTCCCGCCCCCCCTTGAGTCCCACTGGCCTTGAGCGTCCGCTGCAGCAGCACCAGCAGGCACGACGTGTTCGACAGCCAGTATGCCAGCCGCCCCATGCTCTTACTCCCCAGAGCCCCCCCACCCCCCAGTATCACCCCCCCTCCCATCTCCCCTATCCCTTGCGCCGCCAGAGCCCCCTCATCCTCGTCAATAGCTGCTCTGATAGTGCGTATGATCCGGTCAAAGATGCCGGTTCGCTCGGCCTCAAACGCCCGCCAGTGCAGCAGCGACTTGTACACTATGCAGGCAGCTAGGGGCCGCTTGTTGCTGTAGCCAAAACTGGTGGTGGATAGAGCCTTCAGCAACGCCTCCTGCTCTTGCTGTGAAATGGGTAAGAGAGAGTGCAGGGGGAAGAGGGAGAAGGAAAGTGAGGGGAGGAGGGTCATGAACCAGTGCCCCCGGGAACTGTAGATTCTGCAGGCAGCTAGAGGGCGCTTGTTACTGTAGTCTAAACTGCTGAAGCGTACTACCTTACCTTCCACAATGCCTCCTGCTCCTGCTGGAAATGGAACAAACAGGGGGCCGGGCATAAGGGTCGGGGAATATGGGTCGGGGGGAGCAGCAAGGGGAGGAAGGAAGGGACTGATACACAGTGCAAGCGAGGCCCTGTTGCTGTCTGACGCCTAGATTGTATACGAGGGCGTTTCACTCAGCTCATCTCTGATGGTGAAATGGAGGTGACTTTTGAGTCGAAGTGCTCCAAAGTGCTCGAGACGAAGTGCTCCAGACGAAAGTCACATTGTATATGAGGGCGTTTGATCTGACCCACCTCTTCTCTGCTGAAATCCCTCCCGCAATGAACCGGCAGCAAGAATCAAACGAGCGAGGGACGCGATTCAACAAGAATCAACCACCCACTCACCATGTGTCGCTCAGAGCGCACTCCACTCACCGTGTGTCTCTCAGAGTGCAAGCGCAAGAACCGTCTGCTCTCCCCCCCTTCCCCAGACCGACTCCCCAGCAGCGACAGCCCCACCACCCCCAGGCTCCCATTCCCACTGGCCGCAGTCAGGGCCAATGGCGAAAACCCCAACCACCCACTCACTTCAACAGACACCGATTCTTTTTTAGAATTCTAAAAAATGACTCCACTGTAGCCAACGGAGAAAACTCCAACCACCCACTCACCTCAACAGCCACCGATTCTCCACTCACCGTGTGTCTCTCAGAGTGCAATCGCAAGAATCGTCTGCTCTCCCCTCCTTCCCCAGACCCACTCCCCAGCGGCGACAGCCCCACCACCCCCAGGCTCCCATTCCCACTGGCCGGGGTCAGGGCCAACGGCGCAGGGGAGTCTGGCAACGACCCCTTCCCGAGCCTCTGGCCCGGCGACCCCTGGCTCTGGCTCGGCGATCCGAAGCTCAGGCTTGGGGACAGTCCGTTCTGCTGAGCCGCTGCCCCTCCCAGCCCTGCTACTGCTCCTTGCTCGCCACTTCTCCCTCCTCCTCCTCTGTCTGTGCCTGAGAGGGCCTGCTGCTGCCGCAGCGCCTGGTTCTCTCGCTCCATGCGCGAGTAGAGCTCCTGCACTCTCCTCAGGTCCGCTTGTGTCTGCTCCAACTCCTTCTCACTCCTCGCTGCTTTCTCCTGCACCTGCAGCGGGGGGCACATGAACACGCAGGTCCATGTGAGAGAGGAGCACTGCCTGGTTCTCTCGCTCCATGCGAGAGTAGATGTCCTGCACTCTCCTCGGGTCCGCTTGTGTCTGCTCCAACTCCTTCTCACTCCTCGCTGCTTTCTCCTGCACCTGCGGGGACACACAAACAAGCACATTTGCACACATGCACGCGTGCACACATGCACACGTGCACCAATGGATGAGCAATAGTGTGCTGCACCCGCCTCAGGTCGGCTTGTGTGAGCTATGCGTTTCCGTTTGCTCCTTGCAGCCTTCTCATGCACCTGTGGGAGGGAACACATGGAGAAGCACGCATGGACACGTGCACCCTCCTCAGGTCCGCCCGCCTTTGTCTGCTCCAACTCCCTCTCACGCTTCGCTGCCTTCCCCTGCGCCAGCAAGGGCACGTGTGAACAGAGCAAGCCCATTCGTGTGTGCGCATTCACACATAAAGACAGAGAGGTATCCTTTCTTACAACCTTTTGGGCCAACGCTGAAGCCGGTGCTGCTTTCACAACCATTTGCACATACACATGCACATGCTAATTAATCCACACTTGGGATTTCCTTGCAATCAGGCATATCGCAATCACCGCATCCTGTGTGTTAAACAGAAGCCCACCAATGTCTGCATCAAGGATTTACCTGCCCTGCCACTTCTGCCTCATAGCGAGCCAGTCTCTCCTCCGACTCTGCCAGCAGCGACTTGAGCTGCACGTTCTCCTGCTGCAGCTGATGGGTAGGGGGACATGGGAACACACGCAAAGGACAGACGCAGAGAGAGGAGGCAGTAAGAGTAGCTACTCAAATTTCACTTCTCGCCCAGCCAGCAGCGACTTGAGCTGCACCTTCTCCTGCTGCAGCTGCAGGGAAGGCGGCAGACAGAGGGGAGTTCATATGCAAAGAGAGAGGGGGCGCATGAGAAGAACGAAGAAATTGGTCTGGTCTCATTGCCCTCAACCCACTGCTAGCAGCGACTTGAGCAGCACATTCTCCTCTCACCTGACCATCCCCAGCTATTCTTGCAGACGACCCTGATGAGACGGAAGCAGCAGCCGCCCCCCCGGCAGACACCACGCTTCCATCACCCCCACTAGCAGCAGAAGCAGCACCGACAGCAGCCGCACCACCAGTCACCACTGGTCTATCTGCCAGTTCTTGCGCCAGCCTCGCACTTTCCTCTGCCATCCGCTCGCCCTGCTCCCTCAGCTGCCGCACCTCCCCCTCCGCCTGCTCTAATCTCCCCTGGGCCTCCTCCAGCCTCCCCTGCGCCTCGTCTAGTCGCCCCTGAAATTCCTCCAGCTGTCGCTTGGTGTCGCCCAACTCGCCCTCTAGTCTGCTCCTTGTGTCCTCGAGCTCGGTCCGCAGATCTTCCACTTCCGCTTGCAGCCGTTGGATCTCTGCTGCCTTTGCCTCCTCCAGATCCAGCTGATCGATAGAAGGGAAAGGGCAGAATCGAGAGGGTTGGAAGGGAAAGGGCCCAGAGAGGAGGGTTTGACGGGAGTGGGAAGGGGATAGTCGCCCCTGAAACTCCTCCAGCTGTCGCTTGGTGTTGCCCAACTCGCCCTCCAGTCTGCTCCTTGTGTCCTCCAGGTCGGTCCGCAGCTCTTCCACCTCAGCTTGCAGCCGTTGGATCTCCGCTGCTTTTGTCTCCTCCAAATCCAGCTGGTGGAGACGAGAGTGGGCGAAAGGAGGGTAAAGGAAGGGAGTGGGAGGGAAGGGGAGGGGAGGGAAGGGGAGGGGAGGGGACGGGAGGGAAGGGAATGGGTGGCAGGGGGAGGGAAAGGAAGGGAATGGGAGGGAGGGGAGGGGAGGGGAGTGGAGGAAAGGAGGGGTGAGTCTAATTCGCCCTCCGGTCTGCTTTTTGTGCCCTCGAGCTCAGTCCGCAGACCATCAACCTCTGCTTGCAGCCGTTGGATCTCTGCTGCTTCTGACTCCTCCAAATTCATCTGATGGGGGGGAGGAGGAGGGAGGAGAGAAGGGTGGAGGAAAGAGGAGGGGGCGAGGAAGAGGGGGAGGGAGAAAGCGTTTTAGCTCGCAAAGCTAGTCTGCTCCTCGTGCCAAGCTGCTCCTTGTGCCAAACTGCTCTTTCTACAGTTCCTCCACCTCTGCTTGCAACCACCCACCCACCTACACTCAGCCCACTCACCCGCATTCGCTTCTCCAGTTGCAGCCGCCAGGTGAGTTCCTCCAGCTGCTTCTCCAGCTTCGACTTTGCCTCCCGCAGGGCCCCTGCTTGCCTTGCCTCCTGAGACAGTAGGGGAACAGGATTGGCAGGACAGACAGGGGTTAGCAGGGTCGGCAGGACATGGGTTGAGTGGATTGGCCAGACAGGTTTTAGTGGATTGGCAAGACAGGGGTTGACAGATTGGCAGGACCAGGGTTGACTGGATTGGCTGGACAGGGGCGGTTAGAACACAGCTCTGCCAGCTGCTTCCCACAGAGCCCCTGCCTGCCTCGCCTAGGGTGACATTGGGGGCATTGGGGGCATTGGGGGCATTGGGGGCATTGGGGGCATTGGGGGCATTGGGGGCATTGGGGGCATTGGGGGCATTGGGGGCATTGGGGGCATTGGGGGCATTGGGGGCATTGGGGGCATTGGGGGTAGGCATGAGCAAAACCGGGTATTTACCCGACCCGACCCGGTTTTGCTGTACCCGACTTCGGGTCGGGTATTTTCGGGTCGGGTACGGGTCGGGTAACATGCCCAGGACCAATACCCGGACCCGGGATTTGGGGGCGGGTAATTTAATACCCGCCTGGCGGGTCCGGGTATACCCGACCCGATTTCCTTCAAAAACGGGTAGTATTACCCGTGTTTTTCTACCCTGTTGGGCTACTAAGCCTACGACCTAGATAGTGCTTAAAAAAACGTGAGTTGCGGGAGGGAGTATGAGGTGCGCCAAATCTTTAACAGTTCTGGTGTGGTGAGTGGGTCGTGAGTGGGGCCTGAGTGGGGAGTTGGTTGGGTTTTCTAGTTGGGATGGGGTTGTGTGCGGTTTCTGGGGGTTTGATTCTTTGACCCCCAGAGTCAATTGGTTGGAACTCCAGCCAATGTGGTGCTGTGCGGTTGGCTGGATTCAGGTTGGGTTGCAAATTCAATTGGGGAAATTCGATTGGTTTGACTTCCAACCAATTCCCCCCAATTCAACCACTCTGAATGCATCTGTATCTACGAAACCCAACCCCTGCCAATCTACAATGCTCTAAGTGACCTAGCAGCTCACGTAACCTAGAAACTTGATGAAATTTCTCTACCAGCGCGACTAATGTCTCGCTGGTTCCGTCGGGTAGACCGCTACCCGATTTTGGGTCGGGTACCCGCTACCCGACGCGTCGGGTAGCATTTCGGGTACCGGGTATTGAATACCCGCCCGGGTAACCCGGACCCGACCCGCCAGGTAATATTCAGGATTTCCGATACCCGACCCGCCCTAAAGCGGATCCGGGTACCGGGTACCCGACCCGGGCAGGTAGTATGCTCAACCCTAATTGGGGGCATTGGGGGCATTGGGGGCATTGGGGGCATTGGGGGCATTGGGGGCATTGGGGGCATTGGGGGCATTGGGGGCATTGGGGGCATTGGGGACATTGGGGACTAGGACGCTGGCAGCCTGAAGATATTGTGGACGGCGCACTTTGTTCAAATCAGAATGCCATGTCACGAAGCCGTTGGCAGGCTTAGTCCGCTGAAACTTGGGGGAAGCGGATTGGCAACCATCAAAGCAAGAGGATACCGAGCCCAACAAGCAAGATACAACAGCAGTCAACGAACAACAGAGAAAACTGCCTGCCTACCCCCTTACCACTCTCAAATGTCTGAGCAGCCGCCTCGCCTGCCTCGCCCTCCACGCACTCTGGATGACCACGGCACTCCAGCGCACACGCAGATAGTCCATTCGGACCACATAGCCCCGCCACGCGCTCTGAATCCTCGTTGCCGCCCGCTGCACGCGCAGCACGTGCACCCATCTGCGGCACACCATGCCGCGGAACGCCGCCTGGATGATGATGGCACTGTAGCGCGTGTGCTCGTACGCCAGCTGCGTGGTGTAGCGCCGCACGTGCTTCTGGATTGTGATCGCTGCTGCCTCTTCCCTTAGCCAGCTGTAGTACTGCCGGGTCAGGTGACCTGGGGCAAGAGAGGAGTGGGTAAACGGAGAGAGGAGAGGGAGGAGAGGGGAGAGAGGGGAGAGGGGGGAGAGAGGGGAGAGACAGGAGGTTGAGGGGGAGCAACACGGGCAGATAGCGGAACGCCGCTTGGATAACGATGGCACTACAGCGCGTGCGCTCGTATGCGAGCTGCGTGGTGTAGCGCCGCACGTGCGAATCGTGACTGCTGCTGCGTCTACCCTCGGCCAGCTGTGAGAACTGCTGGGTCAGGTGGCTTGGGGCAGGTGGAAAGAGAGCGGGGGTAGGTTTTTGAGTTGCCTAAAAAGCCACCCTTGTCATTGCTGCTGAATTCTCCCTCATCCAGCTGTAGCACCGTTGGTTTAGGAGACCTGGGCATGGGGTGGAGGAGAGAGGGGGATGAGTGGGTGTTGTGGTGATGATGGCACTCTAGGGCACATGTTGTCTTCGTATCCTGTATGGTATATGCACACTCGCGTTTCTGAATAATGACTGCAGTTGTCTTGTGAATTAATCACTAGTAGCACTGCTGGCCTCATGCGAAGTGGGATGCAGCAGCTTCGAGTAATTGACACCAGCTACTACTGCTAGACCTGTATGTTAGACATGATCAAAACGCGATTGCGATTTAAATCACATCGCACAGGGGTGCGATTAAAAAAAATGCGATGCGATTTAAAATCGCATTGCGCGATTTAATTTCGTGAAAATTTTATATCGCACATCGCATTTTAGGTACGATGTTTATTTAAACCGCATGCGATGTTTATTTAAATCGCGCGATGCGATTTAAAATCGCATCGCATTTTACTTCAATAAAAAAAACACCTCAGAAAACCGGATTAAAAAAAAAACACTGATGGGAATTTGGATCAAGGGCAGTCGTGGGCGGTAGTTTAGATAAATAATTCGGTTCAGTATTGGGTTTAGGACAGGTGCGAGGCCCTGTGGTATTTCAAAATCGCATGCGATTTAAAAAAATCGCAAATCGCATTTCAATCGCGATTTTCAGCGCGATTTAAATTAAATCGCGCGATAGAAAACATCGCATCGCGCGATCAATTTATTTATAAAAATAAAAGAAATAAATAAAAAATAAAAACATCGCAGTCGCAAAAACACGTTTAAAAGCGATGCGATGCGATTTAATCTGCCCATGTCTACTGTATGTTGTTGGTGATTTTACAAGGCAGGATTCATGTTCCCTATCGGAGTAGCATCCTGACAGGTTCTGCAGCCAGTGTTGGACGGCGACAGCAGGTCCCTCATCCTGTGCTGCAGCACCATGGTCAGGCAGGGTGCTACTCCGATAGGGAACATGAACCCTGCCTTATGAAGCCACCACCAACACACAGGACAGCAGCAGCAGGTGTCAGTTACATGAAGTTGCTGCATCCCACTCCACAAGTGGCTCCTCAAAGGTTTGTCTGTCTCCTCGTCAAGTGATCTAAGTTGCTGTAGCATTGAAGAGTGTGGGATAGAGCATGACATACTCTAGGTTAATCCACACACACTGACACACACCAAACTAGGGTTGAGCAAACTACCCGCCCGGGTCGGGTACCCGGTACCCGGACCCGCTTTTAGGGCGGGTCGGGTATCGGAAATCCTGAAAATTACCCGCCGGGTCGGGTCCGGGTTACCCGGGCCGGGTATCAATACCCGCTACCCGGAATGCTACCCGACGTGTCGGGTAACGGGTACCCGACCCGGTCGGGTAAAAAATTACCCGAGGTCGGGTATTCCACCTAGACATGGGCGTAAGTCGCGCTGTGTTTTAGGTTTTGCGGCAAAACAGTTTTGGAGGTGAGGGGGGACGAGTGGAGCCCTACCTAGCCTAGCCCTACCTAGCCTAGCCCAACTTTAGGATGTCCACTAGTAGGTGGCGGGTAAAATTACCCGCTTTTCAGGGGGTCCGGGTCGGGTATACCCGGACCCGCCAGGCGGGTATTATAATACCCGCCTAAAAAAACCGGGTCCGGGTAAGGGTCCTGGGCATATTACCCGACCCGGACCCGACCCGAAATTACCCGACCCGAGGTCGGGTATGGCAAAACCGGGTCGGGTCGGGTAATTACCCGGTTTTGCTCATGCCTACACCTAACCACAATGTTCAATCTCTCTCTCCCGTTTCCTTTCCCTCCCCACCCAAAAAATTACCCTACTTACCCCGCCATCGTGCTTGCCTTCATATCACAGCCCATCGCTGCATGTTGTATTGCATGAATTGCCGCCGTGCCCACACATATGCGACCTATGTCTCATGTTTGCTCCCGTCCTCCCTTCCCCCACAGTCCCCTCACCCTGCCACTGTGCCTGCACTCGGATCATGGCCCATCGCTGCATATTGTATTGCATATTGTATTGCATTAACTATCGCCAAGACCACCACACTCACTCACCCACTCACACACACACCATTTCCTCACCTCGCCACCGCGCCTGCATTCCAATCACCGACCATCACACGTATTGCATTACCTGTAGCGATGACTGCCACGCCCTCTCTCGTTCTCCCTCACACCCAGTCACTTACTCACTCACTCACACAGACTCCTCACCTCGCCACCGCGCCTGCATTGGGATCACGGCCCATCGCAGCATGTTATACTGCATGAACTGCCCCCACGACCATAATACTCTCTCCCATGCCCCTCACCCTCTCCCTTTCGGACATGCTCAGCTCACCTCGCCACCGCGCCTGCATTCGGATCACGGCCCATCGCAGCATGTTGTACTGCATGAACTGCCGCCACGACCGCCACGCCCGCTGGATCACCCGCGCAGCCCACCCCAGCCTCTCCGCCCTCAACGCGTCTAAATCCGCCATCTGGCCTGCTCGCAGAAACACCTTGGTCCTGCCCACCTGGAGTTGAAGGGGGAAGGAGGGGGGGGAGAGAGAGGGGGGGAGAGTGTGACTTGACATGGCTCTGAATCACACGCATCCCAACTCAGCCTCTCTGCTCTCAGAGCGTCTAAGAGCCCCATCTAGCCTGCTCGAAGGAGCACATGCGTCCTGCAAACATGATTTGGGGGGGGGGGGGGGAAGGGACGTGTGCAGAATGGGGAGTGCCGATGGGGTATGTGTGAGGGAGTGAATATAATTTGCCAGACCACATGAATGACTCACCTGCACGGCGCAGACCACCATACCCCTCTGGCCTAAACACACCTGTCTCAACTGAACTATGACACTGTTAGATTGCAGCAGTTGAAGAGCTACCTGGAAGTTGCTGAACCCTAGTCGCTGCAGCATTAGGGTAACAGCAGTCTTGTCGTCGTATCTGCGGTAGGGGGAGCAGGGGAGCAGGGGGGCATGAAAGCAGCGGAGCAGATGAGCAGCGGAGCAGATGAGCAGGGGAGCAGGGGTCCAGGGGAGCAGGGGGGCATGAAAGCAGCGGAGCAAATGAGCAGGGGAGCAGGGGGTCCAGGGCAGCAGGGGGCGCATGGGAGCAAGGGGGGGAGGGGAGCAGGGGAGCAGGGGAGCAGGGGAGCAGGGGAGCAGGGGAGCAGGGGGCGCATGGGAGCAAGGGGGGGAGGGGAGCAGGGGAGGAGGGGAGCAGGTGGTAGGGGGAGGGCGACGCAGTAGGAAAATGGTTAGCAAGCATTGATGATTTGAAAGGTGGTGGTTATAACAAGCACATGGGCAGAGATGACACAGACAGTCAAGTAACCGAGGGGCTGGTGCTATGAAAACTAGTCAGGCAGGGTCCCGGGCCCATCATAGGCTCAAACCGACCTTATCCCGTAACAAAGATCAGGTGCAAGGACTGAAGTCAGTCCAGGAACTCGTCAAATGGGGTGACTTTCGAGTGGACTCAAAAGCCGGGCCCATTAAGGCTTACGACGACTGACCTTCTTCCATCACACAGATCAGGCGCCAGAACTGAGAATCTGTCCAGAAACTCGTCAAAGGGGCGGCGAGTGGGGTACCCTGCACAGCTGATTCGAATGGCCTCCAGGACACCCTGAGGGGTAATATCGGAAAGGAAAGGAGGGCAAAGAAACGACTTTTGAGGCGCCTCAAAAGCGTGGTTCGAATGGCCTCCAGAACATCCTGAGGGGTAATATGGGAAAGGAAAGGAGGGCACAGAAACGGATGGCTTGGAAGGGAGTGAGGAAGAATGGATGAGGTGGGATGTGGGGTGCCAGTAGTTGTAAGCCATAAGGCGCACTTGACACTCACCCCGCATCTCGGGTCGTGTACGGCGCTGGGTTTTTCAAAGTACCCGGACTTGTACTAGTGGTTTCCTTTGGCTTTAACACTGCATACAGTGCTTCTTCACGCGTTTTATATTCAAGCATGTGCTCCACTCACCCCGCATCTGAGCTGGTGAATGACGCTGGGGTTCTCAAAATACCCTGGCTTGTAGTGACCATTTGGCTTCACACACCGCACGTAGTGGGGCTCCATGTGGCTTAGCGTCGACATCAGCTCTGCCAGTTGTTGCTGGGAGAGAAAGGGTGAGGGAGAAGTGAGGGGGGGGGGGGGGGGGGAGGAGAAGGACAGCACAGGGGGGAACAATGGAGGCAAGGGATGGGATGAGTGAGCTACACACACCGTATGTAGTGCGGCTCCATGTGGCTTAGTGTGGCCAACAGCTCTGCCAGTTGTTGCTGGGAAGGAAAGGGAGGGACGGGGTGAAAATAAGAGGTGACACAGGAGGCAAGGGATGGGACGGGTGGGCTTCGGCTTTACGGTTTACCTGACTGTTGGGCTTCACACACCACGAGTAGTGTGGCTCAAAGCATAAGAGCTGACAGAAACACCGGGCAGAGCTTTAGCTGCGACAAACAGGGCGCCACAAAGTGGCAAACTTGGTTTTGTCCTTGTGGCCAGGTAGAAAGGGAGCCACTGAAACGGGGGCCTCTCAGCCTACTAGCCCTCCCTTCTCACTGTACATCCCAGTCTCGCCTTGAACCCAGAGCCGAGAGACGTGAACTTGGTCTTTGCCTTGTCGTCCAAGGGCATGGGGAAGAGCGCCGCCACAAAGGGGTCCTCTCTGAGGCACCCAATCTTCTCATCTCACATTGAATCAACATACAGCCCAGATATTCAAGAACCAACCTAGAACCCAGAGCCGAGGGATGTGAACTTGGTCTTTGCCTAATCTCCAGAAGGCATGGGGAAGAGCGCCGCCACAAAGGGGTCCTCTGAGGCACCACACTTGGCAACATACATCCCGAGCTTACCTTGAACCCAGAGCCAAGAGAGGTGAACTTGGTTTTGGCCTTATCCCCAGACGGCATGGGGAAGAGCGCCGCCACAAAGGGGTCCTCTGAGGCGCCCAGCAGCGCCTGGTGCTCCATGACCACATAGTCCTTGTTCTTCTCTAGAAAGAGGTCGGTCTGATAGGTCACCTGGTGAGGCAAGGGAGGGAAGGGGAGGAGAGAGGGATAGACGAACTGATCAACACTGTCCTTCACAAGCCAGCAGCGCCTGGTGCTCCATGACCTCGAGAAAGAGGTCGGTTTGGTAGGTCACCTTGTGAGATGCGAGAGGCAGTGGGAAGGGAGGGGGAAGGAGGGGGAGGGAGGGGAGGAGGAAGAAGAAATACGGGAAGATAAGATGACCCATCACCTCGTCGTCCTCATTGATCTTGTTGATACAGACATACAAATATTCACGCTCCATAAGTTCAACCTCTTGTTGCCAGCAACCCTCATCGCGAACGATGATGAAGTCCGTCGGAGAAAGCAGTTTGTAAAAGAGAGCTTGCTTTGTGAAGCAACTGAAGCAGCATGCCACACATGCAGACACAACTTCAACTGGGTCACTCAAGAGCCCAACTTTCCCACGTAGTGCTCGATGCTGAAGTCCGTCTGGGACAGCTTGGGCTTGTCGATCTAAGTCGATGGCCTTAACCAAAACCATTATCTACCCTAACATCCGCACTCTACCCATCATCCTCACCTTGCCTGCGTAGTGCTCGATGCTGAAGTCCGTCTGGGACAGCTTGGGCTTGTCGAACCGCTGGTGAGCGCCCACTGTCTGGTAGAGCTTTGTGGCGAATGTCTCGTGGTTGGACTTGGGGAACATGCTGCAGGAGGGGGACCGCGGGGGGAGGGGGGGCGGGGGGAGGTGGGGGCAAGCAAGGGGGCACGCCCACAGTCTGGTAAATCTCTGTGGCATATTCCTCCTGGTTCAACTTGAGAAACATGCGACACACGGAAAGGGGGAGGTGGTAAAGTGGAGGAGCATGGTTCGGAAAGGCAGGATGACATAAGCAGATTGACATGAGCATATTATGTAGGAAGGATGCACTAACGCAGTGTGGTGGACATTGGAATGTAGTGAATTTAGCAAAATGCCCAAAAAAAGAGGTGAAAGTGTGTGGTGTGGGTGTGTGGTACTCGTGATGTAAAACGGAATGCAATGGTGCACAGATAGGCCCAGGGACAGTCCTAAGAGGAAAGCCCTAGAGAAAGTACGTAGGAGGAAGATCAATGGTTTCTTTCGAAAGATGAGATCTCACCATTGCTCATCCAGGAGAGCGATGATTCCCATTGGCTTCTGCATGGTGCAGCAACGGAGAGCGACCAAGGGAGGAACGTACAAGGGGAGGGAGGAGCGTTGCAAGGCAGAAGCAGTCAAAACCCAGCAACCAATCAAACACGATGCCACAGAAAATGAAAAGCCACTCGGGAAAAACTCGGGTAAAAACAACTCAAGCGGGACTTTTGGGTCGGCTCAAAAGACGCATGTCAACTGTAAGTCGACTATCCATGATCCGAGCATAGATCTTGCCAACTGTACCTTTTCTATGAGCTCGAGCACATCTTGGTTGTCGACAAAATCGATGTAGCTCCAGTCAATGGCCTCGCTCTCATACTCCTCCTGCTCGGCCTTGAACACGTGCTGGTGAGGGGGGAAGCAGGGGCATGGGGAAAGGGGGAGAAAGGACTGGCGACTCAAAAACATCCTGTCGATGGTCTCGCTCTCATACTCCTCTTGTTCCGCCTTGGGAGGAGAGGGGGAAAAGAAATACCCGGGGGTAGACATGAGCACGGGGCGAGGCGAGGATTCCTTGACCCGAGGATCTCATCCTCGCGCCCTAGCCGGGGCGGGTCGAGGAATCCTCGCCGAGGATTTTTCATGAAAATCCCCCCTCGACCCCCGGGTTTTGGGGTCGAGGATTGAAATCCTCGCCTCGAGGATTAATTCCTTGACCCGGGGCGAGGATTCCTTGACCTGGGCGGCTGGGGGGTTAGGGGGAGGGGGGTAATGGGAACATCCTCGCCCATTTGCCTCGAGGAAAAATCGAGGCCTCGAATCCTCGCCGAGGCGGGGCGAGGAATCCTCGCGAGGATTTTTCCCAGAAAACCTGCCTCGACCCCCGGAATTTCGAGGCGAGGATTTCCGAGGCGAGGAAATCCTCGCCTCATTGCTCATGTCTACCCGGGGGGACAGTGGGTGGGAGGAGAAGGGGGTGGGGTCGCAGAGTCACCCAGTCAATGGTCTCGCTCTCGTACTCCTCTTGTTCCGCCTTGAACACGTGCGGGGGGGGGGGGGGGGAGAGGAACGCGGGAAAGAGGGGAGTGGATAGAGAGGGGGGTGAGAGGGTCAAATGAATCCAGTCAGTGGCCTCGCTCTCGTACTCCTCCTGTTCCGCCTTGAACACGTGCTGGTGAGGGAGAGGGTGGATGGGAAGGGGAAGGACAGTGGAGAAATAAGTCAAGATAGGAGAGGAGGTATGCTAACTGAAGGTCTATTTCATGGCGCACTGGTTCTCAGCAGTGTTTCCACGGCAGAGGCACATACAACTTAAATCAAAGAGACAACAACTGCTAATGCTTTTATTTAACTTGCTGGCTATAAATGCCACCTACCAACCAGGTTGGCTGTACGCACCACTACCGCGTACCTGGTTGAAGTGTTGTTGAAGCTTCTCGTTTGCCAGGTTGATACAAAACTGCTCAAAGCTGCATGGCACAATCACAAGCCACAGGGGGAACAAATCCACAAGGCGAAAGGGCAAGGCTGATACTTTAGTCGACGCAAAAGTCACCTCGTGAGTCGACTCTACAGTCGTGAGTCGACTCTACAGTCACAAGCCACCGGGGGGAACAAATCCCAAGGCAAAATTGTTAGGGTGATTCAGTAGATCCGAACGCATGCAGTGATTCAGTGATTCAGTAGATCCGTCCATCCCTTTTTCTTTCCCCTTACATAGCCTACACAAAGACACCTCACCTGTTGGCATGGAAGCTCTCAAAGGCCTCACCTGTTGGCTTGGAAGCTCTCAAAGGCCTCACCTGTTGGCTTGGAAGCTCTCAAAGGCCTCACCTGTTGGCTTGGAAGCTCTCAAAGGCCTCACCTGTTGGCTTGGAAGCTCTCAAAGGCCCCACCTGTTGGCTTGGAAGCTCTCAAAGGCCTCACCTGTTGGCTTGGAAACTCTCAAAGCCGTAGATATCAAGCACACCGATGATGGACTTGGCGTTGGGGTCCTGGCCGATCGACACGTTCACCTTGTGCACCAGCCTGGTGGAATATCGGGACAGAAAGGGGGGGGGGTGGTGGGTTTGGGAGGGAGAAGGAGAGAGGGGGCTCGTAGGGCACCGGGCGCACCCACGATGGAACTGGCGTTAAGGTCCTGCCTGATTGACGCGCTCACTTTGTGCACCAACCAGCCTGCTGAAATTGGGGAAGGGGAGGGAGGGGGGGGGGGGAAGTGGTGGGGGGATTGTGGGAAGAGGTGGACAGGAGCAGAGGGACGGGCTGGGGACAGGCCCGCCGAGCCTGGCCTGTCAGTTCAGCAAACTCAGGCCGGCAGACACCTGAATACACAAGCAAAGGCGGAGGGACGGCACGGTGTGGCATGGAACAAGGGTGAGATTGGGGAAGGAGTAGGGGGGAGAGAGGGGGGGGGGAGAAGTCTAGGAAAAGCAACGGAGGTGGGCCAAATAATGCAGACAAGGACTGGAGTGCGCTTAATGTTGGGTTTCTGTTTCCTTGCTGATGGAGAGGGGGACGGTCTCATAAAGGGGGAGGAGAAGGAAGTAGAAGGAGAGGTGCTGTCGCCGCGGCAGCATCCGTGGCAGCAAGGCAGTCGCTGCGCAGAGGAGTGATGGAGAGATGGAGGCGAGGGTCGGAGAGAGGCTCTGGGCATGTGGCTTGTGGCGCTAGGGCTTGCTTTGTGAAGTAGTCACGGAAGATGAGAACCCTGTCAGACGAATTATACAAGGGAGAAGGTGTGACGAAGGACTAGGAGAAAGCCAGAGACGAGGAAAGGAGTGGGTCAATGACAGGGCCGCGGGTGGAAGGACCGCCTGAAACCATAATCGAAGCTCTTCGACCAGCGACCCTTTTCCTTCCTCACTCCCTTCCCACCGCTAGCCTTCCCTAAAGCCCTTCGTCCCACCTCCCACTTGGATGCCTCGCCTGACAGGGACCTCCTCCTCCATGGCTCCTTGGCAAAGCAAGCTCTAGTGTCACCAGCCACACGCACATAACATATCTCCAACCTGCCTCTCCATCTCTCCAGCACTCCTATGCGCAACGACTACTTTGCTGCCACGGATGTTGCTCGCGTCGACAGCAACTCCCCTTCTGCTTCCTCCTCCTCCCCCCTTTCACTGGGACCCACCTCCCCTCCTGCCCCTACCGCCTCCCCCTGCGCTTCTGACCCTGCACTGCAGGCAGCTCTGCAAGCTCATTGGCTCCTACTGCTGCTGCCGCACAAAAGGTGACTGCAGCAACCGTTGCTGCAGCTTTGGCTTGTGCCTCGGCAGCTGCTGATGCGTCTGCGTCACGTTAAAGGACGCGTGTTCTTGCTCCGCTATGCCTATGTCCCGTGGACGCATGCACACATATACGCATGCATCTGTGCGGATTCACCCCCTGCACACATGCACACCACCCACATGACCCACCAGTCAAAGAGCTTGGAGTAGATGGTCTTAGCCAGCGTGTCCCTGCTGATCACTGCTGCTGCCGGGTCCAGCTCCCTCTTGATGTTGCCATCCCGTGTGACCAGCGTGCGCGTTATCAGTGACTCCCGCAGAGCTCTCCGGTCACACCTGCAGTAGTGAAGGGCAGGGGATGGGAGTAGAAGAGGGCCAGGAGGAGGAAAGGGGAGAGAGGGACAGGGGCGATGAGGATCAGGGTTTAGCTCCCTATTGATGTTACCATCTTGTGCAACCAGCGTGTGCGTTATCAGCAACTCCCGAAGGGCCCTCCGGTCACACACACCTGTGACATTAGAGGTCAGGGATGGGCGGGAAGGAGGGGGTTTAGGGGTTGGATTAGGACGAGGGTCCATCTCCCTCTTAATGTTGAAGCCTCGTGTAACCAGCGTGCACGTTATGAGCGACAATCGCAGTGCTCTCCAGCTGCACCTGCACATGAAAAGGGCTGGGCTGGGGTAGAGAGCACTACACATCAGCTCCCTCTTCATGTCACAAACACAAGTAAGCAGAGTGCCCGCAATCCGTGACTCTTGCAGGGCTCGCCGGTTGCACCTGTGGTAGCGAAGGGTAGCAGATGGGAGCGGAAGAGAGCTGGGAGGCCACACCCGAGAGAGTACCAATGCGTAAACAGAACCTTTCTCCGTACTCGCTAAATGCACAAGCACCTCTACTGAAATCCAAGCCTGCGAATCAGAGGGACATGCTAGCCTGATCCCACGCCCTAGCCATAGCCCTGGACTTACACGAGTAGCTCGGCTGCTGCTTCCAGGTGGTACTTGGACTTATCCCAACACCTTGGACAAGTCTGGCTGCTTGCCCGGCCTTTGTACTCTGGAGCATAAACCTGAGAACCAGAGTGATAGGCTAACCTGATGCCCATGCCTGCTGCTTACATGAGTAGCTCGGCTGCTGCCTCAAGGTGGTACTTTGACTTGTCGCCCGACACCTTGGACGAGTCTGGCTGCTTGCCCGGGGCGAAGGATACATTCCCCAGGTGCAGAATGGCTGCCACCACACGGAATATGGCGTCCTGGTTGCAAAAATAAAAGCGGGAAAAGGGGAAGGTGGAAGTTGGCAGGATGATTGAAGGTAGATCAAAGGAAGAGATTGCGCAGGGAAAATCATACATTTCCCAGGTGCAGCATGGCTGCCTGCCACCACACGAAATATGGCGTCCTGGTTGCAAAAATAAGAGAGAAAAGGGGAATGGGGGAGATGGCAGGAATTTTCAGGCACCTCAGATCAAATGCTTGCATAGCATGTGCATGCATGCGGCGAACGATACGTCCCCCAGGTGCAGAATGCCCGCGACTACGCATGTTCATCGGACAGGCCGGGGTTGGGTCAGCCCGTCCCCAGCCCGTACTCTTACAGGCTCTGGCCTCTCTTGGACTCGGCCCGAGGCCCGTGCGGTCCGACGTCGACGACGACGGGCCAACACGGGCTGGCAGGCGGGCCAAAATGGGCTGGCGGGCGGGCGAACATGGGCTGGCGGGCGAGCCAACAACGTCCATAGCACATTGAGGCTTGGCATACTCATCATTGCTGCATACTGCTACGGTACCATGCCATGCGTCTATGTCAGAGCCCTTTCCAATGTTTACCCCTCACCTGATCAGCTCAGCCCCACATTGCCCATGGCGCGCCGAGTCATGGATACTGCCCCTTAGACAGAACCATTTCAGCATCCATCCCGGTGTGCATGCCTCACTTGCTCGAACTGGCTGAGCCCCACAACGTCCATGGTGCGCAAAGACTTGCCATGTTCCCCCATTTTGTGGCATAGTATGGATGAATCATGGATCCCCTCCCCTTAGCCTGATCTCCCGATTACACCCCTCATGGTCTCACCTGCTCGAATTGGCTGAGCCCCACAACGTCCATGGCGCGCCGAGTTGCGGCATACTCGTCCGCATTGTTGCTGTACCCGGTGAGCTCAAAGCACGAGCTCTGGTTCAGGTAGTGAAACGACTCTGGCGGGGCGAGCTTCAGCCGTTGCACCTCCTGGAGCAGACATAGGCATCGGAGGGGGGGGTGGGGGGGTTGGGGGAGAGAAGAGGGACGAATAGGGGAAGAAACGGGGGGGGGGGGGCGGGGGTTTGAGGTGCAAAGAGAAGGCAGGGGGGGGAGGTTGAGGAGCTTTGATACCGCAAATTACTTGGGGCATGGAGAAGCACTAGTAGTAGTGCCGTTGAGTCGAGTTACTGGGAATATTTTTACAATAGAGCAGCTCACCTCCAGACAAACAGAGGGTGTCAGAGAATAAGCTCACCTCAGGGGTGGCAGCAGCACCAGCCCAACTGGTAGGAGCAGTGGTAGCTGCACTCGGGGTCAGAGATCTGCACCACTCTGGACAGCTCTGCTCCTGGTAACTGGATATTGGGTGAGCTACACTATGGCATCTCGCCTCATATCGACTAGAGACTAGACATGGGCATGAGCCGAGCCTGGCTCGGCTCGGCTCGTCCAGGGGTCGAGCCGAGCCGGGCTCAACTCGAGGCGAGCCGGGCACCAGACATGCCTGGCTCGGCTCGCATTTCTGTGGGCGAGCCAGGGCTGGCTCGACGGCGAGCCGGCTCGGCTCGACTCGCCTAGCATGCGCTTAAGCCAACAGTAGTGTGGGTGGAGCCTATGCAAGCGCGCGTTGTTAAGAGTGGCGTGGGCTGCTTAAGATTTATCGCGCGAACTAACCTAATGAGATACTCCTAGGCGCACAGAATTCTAGGGTTCGCGAAATTGACGGGAAGTGGTTTGTGAGGAGGAAAGAGGGTGCAAGAGGTTAGGTTGGAAGTTGTAGATGCAGTAGTGTGCAGTGCGGTTGAGCGGGGCAAAAGGGTTGGATGTGCTTTTGGTCGTCAAAGTTTGGGGTTGCGACTGGTTGAATTCGCGAGGTCGCAATGTCGCGGGAAAGAATTCCGCGTCAAACATTTTGGGCGAGCGTTTAGCGTTTACCCTTTAAACGCAGCGTTTAAACGATAAACGCTGCACCGCTAGAGCGATTTCGGGAACATAGACTAGGAGTTGTTGGCGGGAGAGAGAAACGGGAGACACGTTTTGTCGAGGGGGAAATTTACCCTTGAAATCGAGTGGCGAGCCACCTGGCTCGAAATCGAGCCGGGGACGAGCCGGCACGACCCCGGCTCGACGAGGACATTGTGTACGAGCCAAGTCGAGCCGGCTGGCTCGACCGAGCCGAGCCGGCTCGGCTCGAGTCGAGCCAGATCCCGAAAAGAAAGGCTCGGCTCGTCATTTTGGCAAGCCGAGCCGAGCCGAGCCGGATGTGGCTCGGCTTGTGCCCATGTCTGCTAGAGACTGACCTCAGGGGGGTGGCACCAGCACACAGCTGGTAGAAGCAGTGGTAGTTGCCTTGCTTGCCCTCAGGGCCAGAACTTTGCACCACTCTACACCGCTCGAGCAGGTTCGTCTGCACGCACCAAGGCTCCTAGAAACTTACTACTGAGTCAGGCTGTGGTACCTCCCTCATATGATAGAAGCTAACCTCAGGGGTGGCCCCAGCGCACAGTTGGTAGAAGCAGAGGTAGTTGCGCTCGGGGTCAGAGATCTGCACCACTCTGGACCGCTCAGCAGGTACGTCCGCACCGCTGCTTGTGGTTAACTGGCGATTGCTTCGAGCTATGGTACCTACCTCCCTCATATGATAGACGCTGACCTCAGGGGTGGCACCAGCGCACAGCTGGTAGAAGCAGTGGTAGTTGCGCTCGGGGTCAGAGATCTGCACCACTCTGGAGCGCTCCAGCAGATAAGTCCGCACGGCTGCTCCGGATATTCGCCCCTCGGCATCAAATTGAATCTCCACAAACTTGCCGAACCGGCTGGTGAGGTTCGTGGTTGAGGTTTGGGGATGACGGGAGGAAGTTGCAGGGGCAGGTAGAGTGCAGCATATGAGATGATATGAGATGATAAGACGATATGAAATGATAAGATGATATGAGATGATATGGGATAAGAGATGATAAGAAATTATATGAAATGATAAGATGATATGCGAGAAGAGATGATATGAAACGATTCAAGCAGACGGTGAGATGAGGTGGGATGGATGGCCTGAGGAGCTTGCAGAAGAAGAATGACGGGGAAAAGAAAGAAAGACGGGTGGGAAAAGAGGAAGTGGGAAGGGGAGGGTGGGGGGAGGATGTGGGACAATCACAATCTGACCTGGAGTTGTTATTTCTGACAGTCTTGGCGTTTCCAAAGGCTTCGAGAAGAGGATTGGACTGAAAGTTAGGGAAGTAGGGGAGGGAGGGAGGGAGGGAGGGAGGGAGGGAGGAGGGAGGAGGGAAGAGACAAGGCTAGCTGTATGAGCGGCATACCTCCCACGCTTACAGTATGTGTGGACCCATTCTTATACCATTTGGCTCATAAGCGCAAGTGCATTGCGCCCATGCGCATCACATCTTCAGCACTTGACTTGACCTACAAAAAGGCAAGCACTCCAACATCCATGCGCCGCCCAAGCACGTACCTCCAGCAGTTGAGCCTCCACTGATTTGCCCTCTGCGACACGCCCGCCCATGTACCCCTGGTACTGTATGCTCAGCTTCGCCGTTTCAGTCTTCCCCGCCCCGCTCCCTTCACCCTAGGAGACTTAAAACACGTACCTCGAGCACCTGAGCCTCCACTGATCTCCCCTCTGTAGCGCGCCCGCCCATGTACGCCAGGTACTGCATAATCAGCTTCGTTGTCTCCGTCTTCCCCGCCCCGCTCTCCCCGCTCACCAGGATGGACTGGCTCTCGCCATAGTCCAGCATGGCCCTGGGAGGGAGAAACATGGGTGAATATCAGGAGACATGCTCCACCCCGCATGTGAGGAAGACGCACCACCAGCTCATCAGGGAGGTTTGGCTCGCCCCGCTAACGAGGATGGACTGGCTAGTCCAGCATGGCCCTGGGAGGGAGAAACGTAGTGAGGAGTCTATTTTTGAGGCGCCTCAAAAAAAGGGAGGAACGTAGTGAGAATTGAGTGGGATAACATAGGTGGTATGGACGAGCAGCTTGACATGAGCTCACACGCCCACCAGGATGGACTGGCTCGCCCCATAATCCAGCACGGCCCTGGGAGGGTGGATAATCAGGAAGACATGTGAGGAAGAAGCACCATGAACACAAGGGACTGGCTCGCACCATACCACCTATGACCAGCATAGCCGTGGGAGGGACGCGCAGTCCATCCTGGTGGGCGTGTGAGCTCATGTCAAGCTGCTCGTCCATACCCCCTATGACCAGCATGGCCGTGGGAGGGACGCGCAGGGCACAAGGAGATATATGGGCCATGAGGGGAGTATCAGATTGTGGACATGCAGGGGGCACCGTGGGATGTGCGCGCTGTACAGAAGTGGGAGGCACGCCCCCACACGCATGCACGGACTCACACACACTCATTCACACACACACACACACACACACACACACACACACACATACACACACACACACACACAGGCACGCACCTGTATGCTGTTTCTGCGACGGCGAACACGTGGAGACTGAGCTCCCCCATGCGCACGCCCTTGCACTGCTCCATCATGTGCACGCTGTACAGATGGGGGAGGCACGTCCCCTCCTCCCCCCCTCCCCACAAATGCACCCACACCAGTGCGCACCTGTATGCTGTTTCGGAGATGGCGAACACGTGCGGGCTGAGCTCGCCCAGGCGCACGCCCTTGTACTGCTCCATCATGTGCGCGCTGTACAGATGCGGCAGGCGCTGAAACGGGTTCACGGCAATCAGGATGTTGCCCGTGTATGTCTGCACTCAGAATACACACGCATGCAAAATTGACACGCATCAAGAGTGGACACGTGGACACATGCAGACAAATCAAGGCATGCCCAGTCAGGCAGAGTCAATCCCGGTCAAAGGGAGTCATACACAGAGATACACAAGCACAGTCAGATAGTCAGGCCCAGTGACAGTGACAGTCAGTCCAGCTCGAATCTATTCCTCTCCAGTCAGTCTAGGGCGAGCCACGAGCAATAACTGCCAGTGGATGCAGGAAAGCGCTAAGGCTTGCAGAAACGCCGTGAGAGCACTGCAACTTCAGGAGCATATTTCACCAACACGTGCCTGTTTTCGTCCGAATGAGAGCCCAAAGAAAACGAAAGAATCCAGATTCGATCCTCGCTCAGCCGAGTTTCACAGAAGTGCAGAGTATGCTCCAGAAGTGCGTGCAGGAATGCCAACTTGCAGAGTCTCACAAGAGTGTGTGGTCTCACACAGATTTTGCTCGCAGAGTCTCACATAAATCTCCGTATTACATGGCGAGGTTGTTGAGCTCGCCTGGCTCGTACAGGTAGGCGAGCTTCGGTAAAGAGTCACATGGAGGGCGTCTAGGGAGTCTCACGTATAGCTCGCCTGGAAAGTCTCACATAGATCTCGTCGAGGCCGTATCGCGTGGCGATGCTGATGAGCACGCCTGGTGCGTGCAGGTAGGCGAGCGTACCTAAGCTCTCACATTTACGGCGTCTAGGGAATCAGCGTCTAGGGAGTCTGCGTCTGGAGAGTCTCACATACATCTCGTCGAGGCTGTATCCCGTGGCGAGGTTGCTGAGCACGCCTGGTTCGTGCAGGTAGGCGAGCGTACCTAAGCTCTCACATTTACGGCTACTAGAAAGTCTGCGCCGGGGGAGTCTCACATAGATCTCGTCTAAGCCGTATCGCGTGGCGAGGTTGCTGAGCACGCCCGGCTCGTGCAGGTACGCGAGCTTCGTCATGTCGTCCACGCCGCCGCTCGGCGCGTCGGGGTCCTTGGGATGCACGTGCGACAACTTCAAGGTGGCCTGCGGCGAAATGGGAAACGCGGGAATCTTGTTGTGGAAATCGAGCATCGGGTCTGAACGAAAAGAAGAGTCTGGGTCCCTTAAGATGCACGGTCGACAACTTCAAGGTGGCCTGCGGCGAAATGGGGTTTTTTGGCAATTCGTTTTGGGGGGGAATGAATGTCAGCCTACGGCGGAGTCTACAGTCGGGGTCCTTGGGATGCACGCTCGACAGCTTCGAGGTGGGATGCACGCTCGACAGCTTCGAGGTGGGATGCACGCTCGACAACTTCGAGGTGGCATGCACGCTCGACAGCTTCGAGGTGGCATGGGGTGAAACCAGAGCAAAAGTGGTTCACGGTGGGAATGACACGTCAGCCTTGATCGGAAAACGAGGCGCAATGCTAAGGACTGATGAGACTTGAACATGGATGATAAGCGGGACAGTGCGTATTCAGTTCGATCATTGGTCGCGAAAAAAAACGAAATACGGGTCGGGATCGTTGAGTTAACTGAGAAACAGACCTCTTTCCGTCCAATCCTGACGGTGACCGTCTTGCTGTCTACTCGGAGCACTTCGGCCGGCATCCATGCCTGCTGGGCGTCCTCCACCCACACGTACGACCCCACCACTATGTTGCTCGCCGTGGCCTGCGAAATAGGGTCGGGATACGTTGAATTGACTGAAAAACGGACACGAAATCGTATTTTCTAGGCGCCTCAAAAGCGTCCTACACCCACACGTACGACCCCACTACTATGTTGCTCGACGTGGCCTGCGAAATAGGATCGGAAAACGTTGACTTGACTGAGGAACGGACAAAAAAGCGTACGACCCTACCACTATGTTGCTCGCCGTGGCCTACACGAAAAAGGCATGAGAGATTGTGTCAGAGAACTAGGAAACGGCGACTGAGGATGAGAAAGACAGGTTCCAGAAACGACCCCACCACTATGTTGCTCGCCGTGGCCTACGCGGAATGTGTTAGGAAATTAAAACGACGACTGAGCAGGGAGAAGAAGGGCTTCGGAAATAGTAGCGTACCATTTTCGCTGACAGGAGGTCTGTTCAGCTTGTTAGGTTAGGTCTTTATTGGCTAGAAGTATCTGGTCTGCATAGCTAGATGCTAGCGTACGTTGAAGTAGAGACACTTGACCTAGTCTAAAACGTTAATGCTAAACAGATATCACACGAAGACTTTTTAATAACGACACTACGACGCTTGTCTCCTAGACCATGGTAGGTCGAAATAGCTCTGTACATTGTCAGACTAAGCAGCTACATAATCAGGCAGAGCCTGAAGTTTGAACAAGGCATGTCAGTTATGCGGGAAATGGAAGAAACCCAACGGCCAAGGAGTGTGAGGGCGTGTCCAGCACGTTCACTTTGCCCTAACACGCGAATTTGACGACTTCGTACATGTTCAAAAAATGTTACGGCGAGTGTAGCTGTCACGAGGCTCGCCTTTCGACTCCAGCCAGAATGCTTGACTCGGCCTTGTGTCTTGCCTTTGACACGACAAATGCTCTGCACAGCAAAGACGAAAGTGCTTGGCGAAACACGTGGAGTTACGCTATTACGAGCCTGGAAAAGAAAGCCTCCCCAATTTTGCCACGAAACTAACGAAGTGATATGGTTTCTCTTCGCCAGCCAGAATTTGTCGTTGCTGGTGCTGGGTACCATTTCCAGCCGCTTTCGAAACGTGCGGATCACGACTGCTGGTATCCTTCGAGAGCGTCCGGTTAAAAACGGGCACTTTTTACGCGGGTGCGCTTTTTGTGCCGATTTTTCGGGTTACGACGCCTGAATTCTGTACCTGTTACATTAACTGAATAGTATTAGAAGGCGCTGGACAAGCCCTGAAAGAAGCTAATGAGAAGGGACGGCTGCGATCGGTTCGGGAGACGGAGGGCAGAAGGAACGGCTAGGATCTGGTCGCACCCAACGAAACGGGGAGAAACAGCGTAACGGACGGAGCGCAGCTGAGGAAAAGATCGAGGTGCCACCAGCCAATCATCGTCGCCCTCGTCCATACCAAACCAAACCACTGTCGTGCCGCACCCCCCACCACCGTCCAGCCTCTTGCGCCAGGCAAACCGCTTGCCTTCTGAACCAGGAAACGTGGCGGGTTGCGTTCTGCATGCGTCGCACATTATAGTTTGGCTAGTCACTGTCCCAAAACGCAGTTCCCTATTTCATGCAATTTCTGGTATTATTCTTTCAATATTCGCTTACATATGAGCCGTGAAATTCATCTTATCGGAAGTATTAATGTATGTTTTTGTTGATAAATATTCCTACGTATCTGATTATTTTCTTAACTTTGACTATGCATGACTACTCATACACTTCTTTCGAATGCTAGGTGTTTTCAGAACCAGAGGCACGTAAAATCGCAAAATAGGTGTAGAGTACAGCAGAAATTGCGAAACTGTTCTGACACAGTCGTGAAGGGAAACTCCTCTCACGATAACCAGCGAGAATTGTCTTGTTACAAACTCTGTTGCGAAAGAAAGTCACTCTCGCGAAGTTACCTGACCTTCAATCGCTGTCCCGGCTTTGCCTGTGGAACAGTTCACTAGGCTCACTGAGCATACAGCCTACCAAGGCACACTAGCTACTACATACTGCTTGCTAGAACTGACTGCTGTCATGCGACAGTATCCCTCCCTCCCAGTGCCGCTTCGTGTTTCAGACGACGGACTACGCATCTTAGGGAGGCAAGACGGAGGTCGAGATTAACGTGCCTGCGCTGTTCCGAAGGTTAGGATCCGCCCGTGGTCATCGTCAATCCTGTTGGCGTGGTCCTTCGCGACCCTTAATTGCTAGCGTTTGGCGTACGACTACTACACAGGAAAAGGGGTTTCGTTTCCGTAATCATCCGAAATGGAGGTACGCCTCACGACTCACTAGTTTGTGGCCGTCTGGGGGGGGGTTACGCTGGAGGTACTCAGGCTGTCTGAGGCGGATCCGTGCTTATCCTTTCTAGCATCCTAGCGCCATCGCGTGGATCGAGTCAGGCTGGAGATATGCCTCGCGATTTCCCGTTCGCTCCCGCCTTCCGCTGCGGATCGATGTTGAACCTTGTGGGAAAGCTAGCGTTTGAATTGAAGTGACGATTTTGATGAGAGAGCGCGATCGTTAGAAGCTGGTCTTTGAGTCAACTCAAAAGAAAGCTAGCATGAAGTGAAGTGACGATATTGATGAGAGAGCGCGATCGTTAGAAGCTGGTCTTTGAGTCGACTCAAAAGAAAGCTAGCATGAAGTGAAGTGACGATATTGATGAGAGAGCGCGATCGTTAGAAGCTGGTCTTTGAGTCGACTCAAAAGAAAGCTAGCGTGAAGTGAAGTGACGATTTTTATGAGAGAGCGCGATCGTTAGAAGCGAGTGAAGTTTCTTTCTTCACTCAAAAGAAAGCTAGCGTGTGAAGCGAAGTGACGATATTGATGAGATTGAGCCATCGTTAGAACCGTGGATCCCTTACCGTCCGCGGTTGAGATCGCCTCGGGAATGTCGGCATCCATCCGTCGTGAGACACACGGCTCGCTTCGACGCCTCTTTCTGCCGTACTCCACCGCACCAAACCGTCAATAACCCTTGTTGGGTGGTTTGTAGGGGCAGACCGACGCACCGGATGATGGCGACGAGCTAGGGGAGCTCGGCGCTGGGTGGATGGCTTGAGATGTCCAGGGAGGGATCATCCGGTTTCCTGGTCGTTAGTAATCTTTCTCGCCTCTGCGACATGGGTGATTTGTACTGGCAGACCGACGCACCGAATGATGGCGACGTGCTACTGGAGTTTCGCGCGGGGAAGATGGCTTGAGGTGTCCAGGGATCTTTCGGTTTAACCTGGTCGTTGTATCACTTTCTCTCCTCTGCTCATGGTTGGGTTGTACTGGCAGACCGACGCAGCGAATGATGGCGACGTGCTACTGGAGTTTCGCGCGGGGAAGATGACCGTCAGCGGCAGCACCGTGAAACCCGATCCTCGCAAGGGCCTGTTTAGATTGATCAGGGTCAGTTGAGGGGTCGATTGCCAATTCATGAAGGTCTGGTTCAGGATTGTGTTTCTTACCAATCGTCCATTCTCATTGTCTGCCAGCCACGACTGGTTAGTATGGTCAAGAATCGACTCTGAAATCGCCTAGATCCGCTGGTTACGTCCCTGATTTTGGTGACATGGTTCGAGAGAACACCACTTGGTGGTGGTTTTAGCCATACGTGGCAGCGGGCTTTTAGAACACTTATTGTTTAGACAAAAATTCTTGGTGACATGGTTCGCTGGCCCTCCGTCTTCCATCTTCTTGCCTTTCTCGTGTGAGCAGACGGAGGATTTGCTTCTGCATCTGCAGTGGCTGGATCGCACCACTCAAGCTGTTGAGGAGGACATGGTCGTGTTCCCAGACGAAGCCAGATTCGAGAAGGCAAGTTGGGATTCGAGTCAGGCTTACTGTTGTTGTGGGATGTCTTGTGGTGTCGTGAAGAGTATGGATTCGCTTCAAAGCTGGATCGCGCTACCCAAGCTGTTGAGGAGGGCATGGTTGTGTCTCCAGACAAAGCCAAATTCGAAAAGGCAAGTGGTGAAAATACGTTTACTTTTGGGTCTGCGTTTGAGTCGACTCAAAAGCAAAGGCAAGTGGTGAAAATACGTTGACTTTTGGGATTTGTTACTTGTTGACCCTTCTTGTAGGCCCCTCAGAGGTCGATCGCATAACGGTAGCTGGTGAAAATACACTCTTGTTTTTCCAATTGATCCGTGAATGCACTCAAGTCGAGAATGCCAAGACTCGTGCTGCCCTGCCAACCAAGGTAGAAATATCTATTACATAGAATTATTATAATCTGTATACATGTATACAGTTCCGTTCTTGCTTCTTACTGATTCTGATGCACCTATCTGGTGGGATTCGTGCACCAGGTGTCGCAGTCAAGTGGCCGCGTGTATGTGCTCTCCTTCAACGAGGACGACCGCAAGCTCTTCTTCTGCCTGTTGTCGTCACCTTGTTCTCACCCTCACCTCATGCATGCAACTATCTGCTGGCATTTGTGCACCAGGTGTCGCAGTCCAGTGGTCGCGTGTACGTGCTCTCCTTCAACGAGGACGACCGCAAACTCTTCTTCTGGATGCAGGTATTCTCGCTTCTCCTGGTTATTCTTTGATTATTTATCCAAAAAGCATAAGGGACGTCAAATGTATGACACCCTCTCTTATTGTTTGCCATTCGCTTATGATTTGGATCGCTGCTCTGAATTCGACTGGATGCTCAAAATCCCCCCTCCCAATTCTGGCGATTCCTTCCGTTTTTATCTGGCTAATTCCTTCCAGGAACCCAAGGCACACAACGACGAGCATCACTGCTCCGAAGTCAACCGGATTCTCAACGAAGCTTGTAAGTTAGCTCGCTGCTGCTCCTCACCCGTTCGTCCTTCACCCGTTCTGAGGCCGATGTTGGTGTTGTGCATGCGTGTTCTGGTGCTCCTTGCAGGGCTGCTGGAAGGGACGACCGAGTGTTGGATGCAGCAATGATGGATTCCGAGGCCAATGCTTCTATGTGGATCAGATTAGCTTGTTGAACCTCGTGTTCTTGTTCTTATTTCTTGTTTTGGTGCTCCATCTGGGCTTCTGGAGGAGGACGACAGGGTGCTGGATGCAGCGATGATGGGTTCTGAGGCCAATGCTGGTTTTGTGTACGTGTATTCTGCTGCTCCATGCAGGGTTGCTAGAGGAGGACGACCGAGTGCTGGATGCAGCGATGATGGACTCTGAGGCGGATGCTTTCGCAGAGGACGAGGAGGGCCATCTGGGGGAGGCGGATATGCATGATGATGGGGACAGCGGCCAGCTTATAGCACCTGCAGCACAGCCTGCCTCACAGCAGCCCAGGTAGGAATTGTAACCATCTAAGGGCTGCGGGTATGCATTAGGATGGGGTGAGGACAGTTAGAGACACCAGCTGCTGGCATCTGCAGCACAGCCTGCTTCACAGCAGCCCAGGTAGGCTTCCTGATTCAGAGGCCGATGCATCTGGGGGAGGCGGATATGCGTGATGATGGATGGCACCTGCAGCACAGACTGCGTCACAGCAGCCCAGGTAGGAATTGTAACCATCTAAGGGCTGCGGGTATGCATTAGGATGGGGTGAGGACAGACCCACCAGCTGCTAGCACCTCCAGCACAGCCTGCTTCACAGCACCCCAGGCAGATTTCGTTACCTTCTAAGTCTGGAGGGTATGCGTTATGGTGGGGTGAGGAGGACAGCCACGAGCCGATAGCACCTGAACCTTAGCTAATATTGAGTCAACTCAATATACACCTGATGCATCTGGGGGGGGGCAATGCATCCGGAGAGGCTGATCATCATCATCATCATCATCATGCAATGCAGATGCATTGCCTCCCCTTATGCATGATGGTGGGATCAGCTACCAGCTACTGGCGACGGATTGGCGTGTCGATTGCAGCTCTGCACACCTCCTAGCAGCTCGCGTACATAGGAACAATATGGTTTTGGCTGGAGAGCTGCGGCCCAGTGCTGGATATTGATAGTTGTGGACAACCGTACACATTTTGGTGTAGCAGGCATTAGAATCGACACCACACTAAACTTGATGGAACACATGGCGTGCCATATAATACGTGTAGGTGTTCCTTCAAATACTGGTTGGTGCCGATTCTTTCGCCGTGTACACCAAGCTGTGTACGTTTCTCCACAGCTATCCATATCTGACACAGGGTCGCAGTTGTCCGGCTATCTTTCACTAATTAGTGAGCCGAGACCTGTGATGGAGGGGTGTTTTTCTTGCAAAACACGTAATGTTTATCACCTCTTTTAATCCCCATTTCCAGCCCCACTGACTAGCCAGCAGAGGTGCCAGCAGGGTCACCTCACAGGGCGCTCCAGTTGCTAGTGAGCGGAGGAGCAGCCTTGGGGGACCCAGAGCAGCCGCAGCAAACCTTCATGTTTTTTCACCTGAGGTAATTCCCGTCCCTGCCCTCCCTTGCCTCACAGACCAGCCAGTAGCCGCGGCGCCGTGCCAGCAGGGTCACAGGGTGCTTCTGGTGCTAGTGAGCTGAGTGCCTGTCCTAGAGGGGCGCAGGAAGCCTTATGTTGATCACCTTGTGATCCCCATTTCCTCCCTCTCTTGCCCCACAGACCAGCCAGTAGCAGCGGCGCCGTGCCAGCAGGGTCACAGGGCGCTTCTGATGCTAGTGAGCTGAGTGCCTATCCTAGGGGGGCGCGGAAACCCTTCATGTTGATCACCTTGTGATCCCCATTCCGCCCTCTCTTGCACCACAGACCAGTCGGCAGCAGCGGCGCCGTGCCAGCAGGGTCACAGGGCGCTTCTGGTGCTGGTGAGCTGCGAGGCAGCGCTGGAGGGGGCGGATCAGCCGCAGCAATAGCGGCAGGAGGGGCAGCAGCAGCAAGTGGAGGGCTGGGTGTTGCTGGTGCAGGTGCTGCTGGTGCCGGTGGGGTTGGTGGGCCGGTACAGCTGGCGCAGCTGCAGAACATTCTGGCCGGCTTGGGTCAAATACAAGTGCCGCAACACTGTGAGTGGGATCAAATGTGTACCCATGTTCTCCTAGTGCTTGCGTAATGTGGGTGAATGCGGCCTGTCTGTGCCTTCTGGTTAAGTACCGGTACCTGCCTGTCTGTCTGTTGCTCGCCCCATATGTTTCGTGTGTGTGTGCTCTGAGCCTGGAGCTAAGAGGCTAGAGAAGTCACAGCATGGAGGCGTGTTAAAGCCTGAACTTCATATTGATATGCCGTGGTAATACTTTTGTAAGGTTTTAAAAGAAATGGAATAAAGAACTCGCATTTCCCTGCAAAAAAATTTGGGCAGGCTGAAACTTTTTAGCTGACCGTAAACGTAAAGCCTTTTTGGGCTGACGTACGTAAACATACCTTTACTACGTAAACTACCGTAAACGTAAGGTGCCAACTTAGTGTATAAGCGGTTCAAATCTCGAAATGATGACTTTTGAGTCGACTCAAAAGTCATATGCCTGAACTACGGCATCATGTATATGCGGTTCGTACCTGCTTGTCCGTACCTGCTTGTCCGTACCTGCTTGTCCTGTACCTGCTTGTCCCGTACCTGCTTGTCCCGTACCTGGTCATGTGTGTGCAGTGAAAGCAAGGAGCATGAAGCTGACGGACATTCTGAAGCCTGAGGTCATGATGGGCACTCTCGGTGACGCCACTGTGCAACAGAGACTGGCCGAGTTCCTGCCGCCTGTGAGTGCCTTGCAGCCTTGCACTGACACAAATGCCCGTGCTTTGCTCAACAGGAGTGTTGATGGGCACTCTCGGGCTCGGTGACGCCACTGTGCAACAGAGACTGGCCGAGTTCCTGCCAACCTGTATGTGCCGTTTCTCCTGTGTTCGAGAAGCCTGATCGCGATTGCGCTTTCACCTAGCACCTCTCGTGCAGGGCCGCTTTTACCCTCTCATGCTGCACTGTTGTCACCACAACTCCACCTCTCTTAACCTCCCTTGCCGGGCCGCTCTTCCCCTCCTATGCTGTGTAGTTCTGGCCACACTGCCTCCTATGCTCTGTTCTTCCCTCACACGAGCAGGAGTTGAGGAAACCAGAGGACATGCGGCAGCTGATTCTGAGCCCTCAGTTTCAGCAGCAGCTGGAAGTATCTTCTGAGGGCAACAAAGCCTCCCCTCACTCTTGTCTCCCCTCTTGCACTTCACAACCCGCTCTGTTCTTCCCACACACGAGCAGGAGTTGAGGAAACCAGAGGACATATGGCAGCTGGTTCTGAGCTGACTTTTGAGTCGACTCAACAGCCATTCTTGCTGCACCGCCATTCTCTGCTCCTTCCTCACCCGAGCAGGAGCTGAGGAAACCCGAGGGCATGCAGCAGCTGGTTATGAGCCCACAATTTCAGCAGCAACTGGGAAGGGAAGTGGTTTCTGTGGTCAAAAATGCCTCCCTCTCTTGCCTCTCCTCTTGTACTTCACACCACGCTCTGCTCTTTTCTCACCCGAGCAGGAGCTGAGGAAACCCGAGGACATGCAGCAGCTGGTTCTGAGCCCTCAGTTTCAGCAGCAGCTGGAAGTGTTTTCTGAGGTCAGTCACGCATTCCCATATTCTGCATATCTCACCTCTTGGACATAACACACGCACACACACATTCACATCACACCACACATGCACACACAAACAGATGCTGCCCGTCCATTCTCCATTTTCCCACCCGCTCTTCCACTGCTCTTCCTGTGTTCCAATCATCAATCTGCCGCGTTGAGAACTGATACACTCTTAAACTGATCCTCTGCAGGTGTTGCTTGCTGGGAAGATCGACCTCTCACAATTTGGAATCGATGTGAACAAGTGTGAGCGTTCTGAGAGGCTTCTGTGTCACTGTTCTTATTTTCCTCCTCCGTGTGTTAATGAATCTGGTTCCATGCAGTTGTCAGTCAGAATTTCACTGCCTTATGGGAAAGATGTTTTTATAAATCGTTTTCTCCTGCCTGTGTATATTCAGATGGATATGGCGTCGTTTCGTTTCTGGAGGCAATAGATGATTCCACCCCTGCATCCTCTGCTGATGCCGCTGCTGGCGGATCTACCTCCGCTGCTGCTGCTGCTGCTGCTGCTTCGGTCTCTGCCTCTGCACCTGCAGCAGCAGCTGCTGCTCCTGCTGCCCCTGCTGCCCCTGCTCCCCCTGCAGATGGGGGGGCGATTCCCCAATCAGCAACAGGAACCGGAACCGAGCAGGGTGAAGGCACAGCAGAGAAAAAGGAAGGGTCTGACAGATAACACATGGTCAGGTGGTGTCACTCTGACTGACAACTGACGTGCTGTCACATCACAAGCATGGGTCTGCTAGTCGTGATACAGGAGGGACAGTGCAACCCGCATGAGATTCTTTAGGGAGTAATTTGTAAAAATACCGTACAACCCTCTGTTTAGCTGTAGGCTTTGTAGGCTCTCCTCCAAAAAAGTCATATTTGGGCCACTGCAAACATCCCTTGGTGTGATACACCTTGTACTACCTACCTCTAAATGTGTAGAGTGGAGGTGAAGTTGCTTGTAACACTGCAACGGCAATCCCTCCACAACAAGATAGGAGGGATAGAATAGAGATCCAGCCATGTGGCCTCCCTACCTACCCACACTTCATTTTGGCCATCTAGCCATACGGCCATCCAGTACCCGTCAACTTCTACATTTGTAGTTAAAGGCTAGATAGGTGCATGCTCTTAGAGAGTACAACACACAAGCATAACTTACCCTGTATCCCATTGCTTAGTTTCATTGCGCTATTCGGAGATGGTATCCGTCATTGGGCGCTATTCCACTCCCTCCTCCGCCTCTGCTGGCCGCCTCCTTCTGCCCTTGCTCTTCCCTGATCTTGCGTGCTTCCCCACTGTCGTTGATCTTGGCACTCATCTGTGCGCACTTAAGTCTAGCTACCGCACTGCTAGCACTGAGGCCCAGCTCACTACACCGCCTCCCCCCCTTGGTGCTCCTCTCTACTTCCTTGCCACGCGCCTCCCTGATCACCTCGCCACTGCTCGCGACGCCTTCCTTAGTCTCCACTCCGCTGACCTCACCCTTACCGAGTTCGTCACCACCCTGTCCGCGATAGAGACCCGCCAGCGCACTATCACTCAATCTAGCGGTACTGCGGCGCTCCCTATCTCCCTAGCACAAGGCGCCGCTAGAACACGGTGTTCTAGTCACACCGCCGCCCGCTGCTACCGTCGCCTCGACGACCTCTTCCGTCTCAACTTCGGGCCCGGGCCGGACCTCTCGGACTGGCCCAGCCTGGTATGTCGCCTTGTGCATGTCTTCGAGATGGATATGGATCAGATTTGCTCTCCTTTGTATGTCATGTATGCTGATGACTAGTATGACTGGACCTTATTACCCTGTGTTGCCTAGCAAAGGTGTACCCAATGTGTGTAGTCTAGGCTCCCCTGCTGCGTCAGGCGTAGGATCTCCTACCTTGTTTAGTCTAGGCTCCACGCTAGTGCCCTTGCCGGCTGACGCTACCGCCGCTCTCTCCTCACGCTGGACTCTGGTACCTCGTCGTCACGACTACGTTCCCTGGACACGATCGGTATGCAGTCTGTACTGAGGCCGCCACTGGTGCCCCCCTCACCACGTTCCCCCGGGGCCCGGTGTCTGGCCAGTTCACGTTGGACACCGCGTCCCCCGTGGTAGGGGCGTCCCCCCAGGTGGTTGCGTCTATCCAGGTCGCTGCGGCTTGCTCGTGTCGGTTGCTCTCGCACCCGTCGCTTCTGTGGCACCACCGCCTAGGTCACCCTGCTCTCCCGCGTCTGAGTCACGTGTTCCAGCACGGTCCGCGCCTAGATCACATGCCGCCTAGGGCACCGGCACTGCCGGACTCCCCACAGCAAAATGGGGCCGCTGAGCGTCGCATCGGTTTGGTCATAGAGGTGACTCGTACCTCCATGATTCATGCCGGTCCATTTTTTGTGGCAGTGTGCTATGCTGCTCACCAGCTTAACCTGTGGCCACACTCCCAGCGACCGCAGGTTTCGCCGACCCTCCTCTGGGTCGGGTCCCCTGGTGACGCATCTGCGTTTCACGTCTAGGGCTGCCTAGCTCACGTCCGCAGCTCTCGCGCGGACAAGCTCACTGCCCGCACCGTCCCTTGTGCCTTTCTTGGCTTCGCTCTAGATGCGTCTGACTGGCACTTCTATCACCTGCCGTCTCACCGTTTCTTTCAGACGCGTGACGTCACCTTCGACGAGTCTGTCCCCTTCTACTCCCGCTTCCCCCACCGCGGTCTCCCGGTCACCCCACCCCTGTTGCTTGACCCAACTCCCCTGGTAGCTCATGCTCTCCGTCCTGCCCTGTCTGGTGTGTCTTACATCACTCCCCTTCCCTCGGTTTCCCCGGTGGAGGAGTCTGCTGACTCTGGGGGCCCTGCGGCTCACGGTTCGTTGCCTGATTTTGCGGCGCCTGCACCCTCGGCCCTGGTGTCTTCTCCGCCGCCGCAGTTGCCGCAGCAGCAGACAGAGACGCACTGGACTCAGTGAAGGCTGAGCTGCTGAGGAGACACATTTGCACTGACCTAGGAGAGCTGTGCCGCTACCTTGGCCAGCAGATCTCCAGAGATAGAGCAACTTGCTCCATCACTCTCACACAGTCACACTTGGTGCGCTAGATCCTTCAGAGGTTCGGCTGTCAATTCTCCTCCGCACAGCCTACACCTCTGCCAATAGATTATAGGCTTTCGGCTCTAGTCCTTGACGAGTCGGTTGAGCCCACTGATCTGTATGCAGAGCTTGTGGGCTGCCTCATATGCCTGGTGACTTGCACTCGTCCAGATCTCGCATACCCTCTTTGTATTCTGGCTCGCATTGTTACGACAGGCAGACACTGACTACAGCACTGGTCGGCCGCTAAGAGGGTTTTGCGCTATCTAGCAAGTACAATACATCGGGCATAGGGCTAGTGTTGGGAGGACGCTGGCCAGTTGTTCTCACAGGGCACACAGACGCTTCATGGGCAGACGACGCTGAGACTCTCAGGTCCTCCCAGGGCCACTGTTTTAGCCTTGGTGTAGGCGCTATCTCTTGGAGGTCCACCCGCTCGTCGTCTGTTGCATAGTCTAGCTGTAAGGCCGAGATCTACGCTTGCGCCATGGTGGCACAGGAGCTCCGCTGGCGGATGTTCCTACTCACTGACTTGGGTGAGCAGCCTAGCTCTGCCCCGGTCCTGTACTTTGACAACCGGGCCATGATGCTCCTGTGTCAGGAGCCTCGACTGGAGGGCAGAGCGAAGCACATCCAGCTGCGGTACTTCCTCCTGCATGAGCTGCAGCAGCGCCGACAGGCCCGCGTAGTACACTTGGCCTCCAGTGCCAACACAGCTGATATCTTTAGTAAGGCACTTGCGCCTAAAGATCATCAGCGACACTGTGTAGAGCTAGGTCTAGTTCCAGTAGCTCCTCGCTTGCTAGGACCCTGATTGTATACTACTTATATTTAATGGACAGGCCTTGTGGCTCTTGTTCTAGCCAGTGGCTCGACTAGTAGTGCCGCCCTGGGTTACTCTTGTTTAGTTTGTACTCTTGCTGACTGGTCTTCGGACCCTTTCCTCAAAGGTTGGACTAGTTGTGTCTCTTGCTAGGCACTGCCCCTTGTCTAGCCAAGGGGGTGTGTCAACTTCTACATTTGTAGTTATAGGCTAGATAGGTGCATGCTCTTAGAGAGTACAACACACAAGCATAAATAACCCTGTATCCCCTTGGTTGGTTTCATTGCGCTAAAAGTTTTCTGAAAATAGGACCCCCTTTCATTTCTAGAATTTTCCCCTGAAACCCAACTCGTTTTTCAAGTTGGGACCAGGTACTTTTTTTTTTCATGTATAGTTATAGGCTAGATGGGTTAGTGCTCTTATAGAGTACAATACCAAACCCTTATATCACCCTGTATGCCTTCCTAGAGCTCACTTCGCTACTTTGACATGGTACCATGCTAGGTAGGTCCCACCCAACCGTGCTTCCGCCCTAGCCTACCTTAGAGTGTCCCGCCTTCGTGCGCCCCACCCCTTAGCACGCCCCACCCATATCGTGCCCCTTCCCTAGCTCGCCGCGCTCGCCTTTACTCATCGCGCTGGCCCTAGCTCGTCGCGCCTGCCCCTGCCCACCGCGCTGGCCCTAGTCCGCTGCGCTGGCCCTGCCTCACCGCGCCTGCCCCAACCCGCCGCACCGCGCTGCCCCTAGCTCGCCGCGCTGCCCCTAGCTCGCCACGCTGCCCCTCTGCTCGCTGCGTTGGCCCTAGCTAGCCGCCAGCCCCTCCTTGCCGCACTGGCCTTCGCTCGCCGTGCTGGCTCCAGCCCGCCGCGTCGGCCCCAGCTCGCCGCGCTGCCCCAGCTCGCTGCGTCGGCTCCAGCTCGTCGCGTCGGCCCCAGCTCACCATGCCGACCCAAGCTCGCGGCGCCGCCCTAGCTTGCCACATAGGCTCCAGCTCGCCGCCGGCCCCAGCTCTCCGCGCCGCCCCAGCTCGCCATGCCGCCCCAGCTCGTCGCGTCGACCCCAGCTCGTCGCGCCAGGCCTAGCTCGCCTCGCCGGCCCCAACTCGCCGCCAGCCCCTATTCGCCACGATGGCCTCTACTCGCCGCTGCCGGCCCCAGCTTGCGTCGGCCCCTGCTAGCCTGGCCAGCCCCTGCTAGCCGCGCCGGCCCCAGCTCGCCGTCGGCCCTGGTCTCTCCTCTGCGCCGGCGCCCTCGTTGGCCGTCTGCGTTCCCGCGTCTTCATTGCTCCCCATCGCATCGGATGATGGCTCTAGTTTGGTTAGTTGCCAGTACCAGATCCAGTCTAGTCCCCTTCGTGGCACCGTCTGTGGCCACTCTGGTCACACCGCGCCCGCTGCTACCATCGCCTCGTCGACCTCTTCCGTCTCCGCTTCGTGCCCACGGCGGCCCTCTCGGACTGGCCCAGGCTAGTACGTCGTTGTGTGCCTATTTTTGATATGGATATGGATCAGATTGGATCATCTATGTATGCGATGTATGCAGACTCTAGTGTTACTGGAACCTACTATTCCGATGTGCCTAGACTAGGAGCTTCTGCTGTATGTAATCTAGGCCCCCCTGTTGCGTCAGGTGTAGGACCTCCTGTCTTGTGTAGACTTGGTTCCACACTAGTGCCCCCGTCGGCCGACGCTATCGCCACGCTCTCCTTCACGCTGAACTCTGGTGCATCCGCTTGTTTCTTCCACGACCACACCACTCTCATGCCGCTTTCAGCACCAGCAGCAGTCTTCCTTGCCAACCCCTCCTCCGGTCCAGTCGTCACACGTAGGTCTGCACATCCCCTTGTTCTCCATGAACCTGGTTGGTGTCGGCTGTCTTCAGGATTTCGACATCACCCCCACGCTCCCTGGACACGAGCAGTATGTAGTCTGTACTGAGGCCACCACTGGTGCTCCCCTCACCACGTTTCCCTGGGACCCGGTGTGTGGCATGTTCACGCTGGAAGCCGCGTCCCCCCAGGTAGCTGCGTCCCCCCATGTGG